TTTAGACCTCTATTTAGAATCTACTTTATGATGATGATGGCACACACACAAATCTTTCCACCACCACTGCATCTTTACAAGGCTGCTGCTGCATATTTTGAAGATAAAATTGCTTGCATTTGTTGCAACCTGGATTTGGCTTTATGTGCAGATGAATTAAAGTACACATCCAGAGCACAATCTAGTCATGCACCACAGCATGATTTTTGGTTCTTCTTGCTGAGGTTCAATAAGATCAACATGTGGTTGGAGAATTGCAACTAATTACTTATTTGCTTTCAGGCTTTTAAATCCCTTTAAGAAGTTCTTTTGTGGTATCTTCTGTTTGTTTGTATTTTTACTGATGCTTTCTAAATTATAAATTGTTTCAGTTGGTTGTATAACTAAAAATTATTGAAGAATGTTTTATGAAACCAAGCACTTTAGTGACTCTGCCAGTTTACTGGGCCCTTTTGTTAAAGGCTTAGATCCTGAATGGTCTTCCACTAGGAGGGTACATGCCCAAAACATAAGTGCAGACCATTATGGAGTTGGCTGTTACATTCTGATGGAGTGGACTGCTCTCACATGGAGCCAAGAAAGGGCTGCATAATTATCATTTGTGACATCTCCTGCATCTACAAAAAGGAGGTCAGAGTGAGCCTGACAGACTTTGAAGGGACTTCGAAATGTCAGCTAGCTAAATTACTGCCAATCAAAGAAATATATTTCTACAGCATTTTTGGTAGGTGGTATCCAAACTTTGCTTGACGACACTTCTAACAAAGGAAACTACCCTCTTCCAATGCTGTCTGTTCCACTACTGAACAACTCACACCATCAGAAATGTTCTCTTAATGATTCAGTTCACATATAACCACATCCCACTGTCGGGGCTTTGTGTGAATGTATTAACTTCTGCCCACTTGCTGCTTCAGCTTTGAATATAGCTAAAAGTCATATTTTCCCTAGGCTACAGCTTTATTTACTTGACTAGCACCCTACTTTTCTACAAAAGTGATAATCAAGATAGCCTACAGTCACTAATAAAACTTGTTTAAAGCAATAACAATACAGTGCATTAAGCAAAATGTAAAACTATTTAAAATACACAATTACAGAGCAAAAACAGCATCCTACCTAACAGACTTGCTTACTTTGCTTGAATATAGTAGCCTTTGCCTGATGACAACAGAAAGGAAGTGAAGGAATGGCTAATGTTGCCCTGTCTTCAAGAAAATGAAAAAAGAACCTGGGAACTACAGACCAGTCAGTCTAACATCATTTTCTGGGAAAATTCTGGAGCAGATTATCAAGTAGTCAGTCTGCAAAAACCTTGGAAACAATACTGTGGTTACTACAAGCCAACCTGGATTTCTCAAGAACAAATCCTGCCAGACAAAGCTAATTGCTTGATTGGGTAACCTCCCTGATGGACTGTGGGAATGCTGTGGACATAATCTAACTTGATTTTAACAAAGCATTTGACAAAATGCCCCATGATCTCGATTAGCAAACTAACAAAAGGTGAGCTAGATGGAACAACTATAAGGTGGATCCATAGTTGGCTACAAACTCAGAGTGCTTATCAATGGCATCTTCTCAAACTGGAAAGAGGTAATGGGTGAGGTACCACAGAGTTCAGTCCTGGGCCCAGTGCTCTTCAACATTTTGTGAATGATTTGGATACAGAAGTGCAGGGGATAGTGATCAAATGTTCAAATAACTCACAACTGTGTGGGTTAGCTAATACCCTGGAAGTAAGAAACATGATTCAAAGTGATCATGATAGGCTGGAGTGCTGGGCTGAAAGCAACAGAATGAAATTCCATTAGGACAAATGCCAAGTTCTGCACCTAGGAAAATGAAACCAAATGCATTGCTACAAAATGGGGAATACTTGGCTCTACAATACAAGTGAAAAGAATATTGGAACTGTTGTAGATCACAAGCTGAATGTGTGTCAACAATGTGATGTGGCTGCAAAAAGGCCAAATGCTATTTTAGACTGCATTAATAGAAGGATCACTTCCAAATTACTTGAAGTACTAGTTCCTCTATACTTAGTAGCAGCAGACTTCATATGTCCAGTTCTGGGCACCACAGTTTAAGAAAGTTGCATACAACTTGAAATGCTTTCAGAGGAGGGCAACATGGATGATCCACGGACTGGCAACAAAGCCCTGTGAGGAATGATTGAAAGAACTGGGCATGTTTAGCTAAAAAGATAAGATTGATGGGAGATATGATAGTACTCTACAAGTACTGGAAAGACTGTCACAAAGGGGAAGGTCAGGATCTCTTCGCAATCATCCTGCAGTACAGGACATGGAATAATAGGCTCAAGTTAAAGAAAGCCAGATTCTGGCTAGATATCAAGAAATAATTCCTCACTGTTAGGACAGTATGACAAATGAATTTGTACAATCAATATTTCTAACTAAATGGAGAACATTACATTATCTCACTTAGTTCTGGCTCAGTTCTCTGTCAAGTCTTGAATAATTGAATAATCCAGTTTTTGCCTTCTAAAGTATTAACAACCCATCTAATTATGTGTTATTTGCAAGTCTGATCAGCATCCACTCTACTCTGGTTCCAGAGTATGGTCTGAGGTCACATGAAGCAGCCAACTTGTTTAAGTTAAGCAGATCTAGTCTGTGCTCAGTTGGGAACCCTATGAATTCCACAATGAAAGAAAAACAAGATATACATGTCCAAACTAGGAAACAGAATCATAGAATAGTAGAGTTGGAAGGGGCCTGTAAGTCTGTAAGGGGCCATGGAGTCCAACCCCCTTGCTCAAAGCTGGACTCCAAGTTAAAACATCCTTGACAGATAGCTGTCCAGCTGCATCTTGAATGCCTTCGATGTGGGAGAGCCCACAGCCTCCTGGGGCAATTTGTTCCTTTGCCACACGGCATTAACAGTCAGGAAATTTCTCCTGATATCCAGCCAGAACCTGGCTTCCTGTAACTTGAGCTAGTTATTCTGTGTCCTGCACTCTTGGTTGACTGAGAAGAGATCCTGGCATCTTCTCTATTTCAAGTATTAGTAAAGTGTTATCATGTCTCCCTTCAGTCTTCTCTTCTCAAGGCTAAACATGCCCAATTCTTTCAATCTCGCCTCACAGGACTTTGCTTCCAGTCCCTGGATCATCTTCAGTGCCCCTCTCTGAACTTTTTCGAGTTTGTCTGCATCTTTCTTCAAGTGTGGTGCCCAGAGTACTCAAGATGCAGCCTAATTAGTGCTGAATTAGTATATCATGTGACTTAGAAGTTATATTTCTATTAACGCAGCCCAGTATAGTACTTGCATTTTTTGCAGTCACACCTCATTGTTGGCTCATGTTCATCTAGTGATCTACAACAACATCTCTATCCAAGTCCTTTAGTGAACAATATTGGGACCAGGAGAGAACACTATAGCACCCCTCCTGTTAGTTCCCTCCAACTTGACAAGGAGCCACTGATGGCTTTTGACCACCACCATCTATAAATCCACCTTAGCTTTGCCTAGGCAGCAATTTATCAGCTTGTCAACAAGAATATAATTGGAGACCTTTTTGAATGCCATTATAAAACCAAGACATATTATGTCCACAGCATTCCTCTTATTCGGCTTGCAAACCTATCAAGAAAGAAGATAAGGTTACTCTGGTACGATTTGTTCATGAGAAAACCATGCTGACTCTTTGTGATCAAATGCCCCCACCCAAATGTTCACACACTAATTGCTTAACGTGTTCTAGAACCTTTCCAGATACTACTGTCAAGCTGGCTGATTTTCAAAAAGGTGTGATCTCTTCCTCTGCCCCTTTTTGAAGAAGGGCACATTTGCCAACCTCCAATGTAACAGTAATCACCAACAGTTTTCAAAAAGATAGAAAAGGGCTCTGCAATTATACCTGCAAGTTCCTTTAGTGACCTTGGATAAAATGTGACTGACCCTAAAGGCTTGAATGTATTTAGGGTGCTTGTTGCTTGCATACCACCTCCTTATCTGTCTTGAGCAACATCTCCTTCCCTGTATCATCTGATCTATTTTTACCAGGTCAAGTAAAATTTTCCTTGTGGGAGAAGAATAAGAAAAAGTAGATATTAATCACTTACACCTCCTTCCTATTACCAACTCATATTTTTCCATCTTTTTGCAGTGGGCCTATCACTTTCTTGTTCTAATTAGAGCGGGGGGGGGGACCATTCTGACACTATCCCTACAACCTTTGGCTGCTCATTTGTATTCTTCCTAATTTGCTTTTCCTTTAATTTTCCATACAGGCACGTTTTGAAGGATATTATGATCTGAGTCTGAAGTCCTCCTAGTTGATGGGATGGAATGTGATGGGATGGGATGGGTCAGGGCAAGTACCTTCTTTCTCTTGAGTATAACATCCAGCCCTGGCTGGTGTGCTGCTTTCTGCTGTCAATGTTCCAAAGTCAGCACCAAGGCACTATATACAGTTTTTGTTCCTTTGTTTTTAGGGTCTGGTGTAGGATGCAAGGGTATTTTTCATAAAATGATGTTTTTTCTATACACTTGCAAAGCCTTCTTGTTATTCAGACGTCCATGTCAAAGCCCTTTTGTGAAAGCCCTTTTTGGTACATACACAGGACAGCTTTTCCTCAGGGATCAAAAGTGATCACATTTCACTTCAGGTGTTTTAGAAGTCGACCTTGACAGCAAGATTTTACCAAATTTCAATTAAGAAACAAGGATTAGAGGAAATCTGTGCACCTGTCTCCCTTTCATGTAAATTAAATAGTTGATAGTAGTTGGGTAGCAATCTTTATATTAAAACTTTGATCCTCACCCTTTTACTTAATTGCATGTAATTGGCAAGCAGACAGGGTTAAAAAGCAAACAGAAAAGCAAAGAAAAATCTATTCAAGTTGCATAGCACTAGTTACTTGTATATGCAAGATGTTGCATTAAATGCTAAAAGCATGCAACATATGAAGAAGTACCCAGAAAACAATGAAATTACTAGAGGCAAAAAAGGCTGAAGATTAGAAAATAACCTTAAGTAAGAGGAAGAGGTTGTTGAGACAGCTGAGCAGACACAAAAGGCACTGAAGAACAGAAGCATCCAGAGAGTCACACTGTAAGGCAAGGCAGATAAAAAGCAGTTATATTTATTCTGTAGTTGGGAACTTAGGGTGTTGGATCAACATGAATCACTTTTCTAGCATGGCAGGTATTAATCATGCTATTCGTATTACTTTCTGAAATGGTACACCAAATTTCCACTGTGCTCTCATCAGAGACATCCTCTAAAAAGTACATCTTCTCTAGCCAGATCTGGTCACAAGTGGGACCTGCATGAGAAGGCTGCATTGTGAAGTGCCCCTGCTCAGCTAGTTTATTTCTCCTATCAGTTCAACCATATTCACACATGTATTTACTCCATGTATCTGATACTTACCATATCAGAAGATAGCTCAAGACACACCCCTGTCCATGAATTCCATTTCCCCCTCCCACCTCATTTTCCATTCCATTTTCTACATTATGTTAAAACAATTGTTTGATACGGCCACTTGGACTTCAAAGGAAAAGCAGAGATTAACAGATGCTACTGGTGAGGGGAAGCAAACCAACAGTAAATAGTAAATATCATCCTCTCATCCTTTGCCCTGAGACTAAAAAAGAGCACGTAGAGCAGACTGGGCACCATCATCAGAACCCCCCACCACTCCCACCAATCCCTCCTCCAAATTCTGCTGCTTCTGAAAGGCAGGAGACATAGCAAACAAGAGACGGCTCTTCTGACCTCCTCTCACCCAACTTCCAACACTCACAGTGGCGGGTTTAGGTCTGCCGTGCCAGAAACTATGAGCTGCCACCTCTACTAACTCCTCTTTGCGTGCCTCACTACAGTGGAACAGAAACATAATCATGGAAGGGGGAGCCACCTTTCACTCATCTGCGTTCTCCAGTGATGGGGATTCAGGCCATCAATTCATCTCTTTCCTGTTGTGCCATCCAAACAGCGGGTAAATCAGAGAGGAAACATGACTGCTCTTTGCAGGGTCAGACTGGGGGTAGTGTAGCCATCCAGAGGCAGTGGCGCTCTTTATGTGGCACAGTAGCCCAATCCTCCCCACTACACTACCTAGTTAAAGACAGCAAATGCACTGACAAGAGGTAGTGGTTGCTCCTCTAAGAAGCAGCCACTGCATCTTTTGCATTTTGGTCGGGGTCTTAGGCCTCCCTGTCCTGCTAGGAAGAGATGGCTGCTCTGCCCCACCAAAGTATACAGCTTCTCTCTAATGAATACAGTTACTGCGAAGGAAACCACACAGCCTGGCATTCCAAAGGAGTCATCTCTCCTCTTCTTCAGAAACTACAGAGTACAGATAGCTGAAATAGCAAAACACGCTCCATCCTTCCATACTCTATCATTTCCCTCTCAAGAATGGTATTTTGCAGAGGAAAAGGTAGATTAACTGTCATTCTTCGAGTGGTCATCTACACATTCACACATATGGGTGTTGCGCCTGTGCAGTGCCTATGTCTAGGAAGATTCTCCCAGCTAAGCCTAGAAATTTCTGCAGGAGCCCTGCCCCTTTCTAATATAAAAGGGGTGGGCTCCTGTCATTTCCCTCAGTTCACATGGAGACTGATGTTGGCCTTGGAACCTAGCTGCTGTATAGTTTAGAAGGAAATTCCTAAGTAACTACCGACACGTATGTGGGGCCAACAGGTTGGTTGTGTGAATGCACAGATGACCACTTGAAGAAAGACAGTTACAGGTAAACAACCTTGCTTTCTTCTTTGTGGTGTCTGTGCATCACACATATGGATGACTAGCAAGCTTACTGGATTTGGAGGTGGGTTGTTCTGTCACTGAAGAATGGAGAACAGCACTGCATGGCCGAAGGAGCCGTCTTGCCTCACCTTAAGATCAAGTTGGTAACGTTTCATGAATGTTGATGGTGCTGAGCAGGTAGCCAGTTTACAGAGGTCTTGTAAGGGAATACCCACATGGAGAGCTGCAGGTTGAGTGGGCTTTGAATTGGTGCGGGAGCTCTGGTTGTGCCAAGTGGTAAGCTAGCTTAATTGGTTCCATGATCCACTTGGCCAGACACTGTGAACCGAATGGATCACCTTTGGAACGGCTGGGATACGTTACAAATAGTCTTTTAGTCTGTTGCATCAATTCAGTACAGGATCTGTAGAAGGCCAATGCCCTCCATACGTCAAGTGTATGCAACATTGATTCAGTTGGTGTGGATGCTGCCAGGAAGAAGGCTGGAAGCATTACATCCTGATTTAGGTGGAAACATGAAGCAACTTTAGGAAGAAAGGTGGGATCTAGTCAAAGGATTACTTTTTTCTTGTGGAAAGTCAGGTATGAAGGGTTTGCTCATAGAGTGCACAACTCACCTGCCCTGCAGGCTGATGTGACAGCCACAAGGAATGAGACTTTCCAAGAGAGCAGCCTCAGGTCTAAAGTAGCAAGTGGTTCAAAAGGGGGTCTTGTCAAGGCTTGCCATAGAACTAATAGACTCCAACTTGATACTACAGTCTGGATGGGGGGATTTAAATTGTATAGACCTTTCATGAATCTCTGTGAGAGGAGAGGAGAGATTACAGACAATACATCAATTGGACCCCTCTCTGAAATGACAGAGAGATAAACTTTGATGGAAGAGGTTTTTACAAATCCCAGAGAGGCATGAGTTAACTGCAGGGCCAGCAGTGTAGTGGTAGGCAGGGTTGTTGGTGGGAGAGGCGAACAAGCACGCTTTGTAGAGGTTGAGAAGCAGTTCCTCAGTTTTTTCTCCAGCTTTTCCTTGCTTGATTGATAGCCACTCTGGGTTCTCCTGCCATCTTGTGGTGCCTCTTATGGTGCCTCTTTTTATCTTTATGCTTCTTCATGCTGCCAATGTTTGTTGACTTTTCTGTTGCTGCAGGAGTGGCTTTCGGTGAGCGTGCGGCTGCAGATGGGGTGCAAGTTTCTGTAGCTCCCAGGAGGTGGACAGACAATCTTTGGATTCAACTGTGATGGCCCACATAGTGATGAGAGCCCTCGCCCACATCTGTTCTCCTGTGGCCAGATCTTTTTTTTTTTTTTACTTGCTTTGTAAATGCCTGGCAATGTGGGCCTGAGTTGGCTTGGAGTTCCTCCCCGAGGCAAAATGAACAGAATAAGTGTCCATTTCATGGATGGTATTTTCATGCCACACCAGACACATTATAAAAGCCAATTTGAATGCCATCAAGAGTGAGAGGGAGAGGGAAAGGGGAGAGACTTTCCGAGGCAAAGGGAGACAATTGGTTCTTTTTAAAAATTTACAAATTTTTTAGAGGGAAATGGTGAGGTGGGTTTAAAAAGGGAGGGGGGAATATGAAGGTTTTGAGGGAAAGCATAAGTTGAGAAAAAGTCTAAGAAACAGCTGAGGTAAATAGAATAATAGAGTGAAACTAAGACTCCCAAGGCACTACAAACTTTGGTCTCCATGTGAAGTGAGAGAAATGGTGGGAGACTGCCCTCTTTATACTAGGAGGGGGCGGGACTCCCACCAAAATTTCTAGGGCTAGCTAAGAAAATTGTCTTGAACTTCGGCACTGCACAGACACAGTAAACATACTGTATGTGTGACACATAGAGACCATAAAGAAGAACCAAAGAGTTCAGTGGGCTAAAATGGAAAAAATATGTGTTGTGTGCTCCAAAGGGGGAAAAATGGTACAAAATAAACTTAGGGGAATTTGGAGTAGCTTGGATACTTGTGGGCCACATGCACTCTGTACAATGTCCCCTGTGCTAAAAGGTGAAGATATTCAGAGAAATAGAAGGCCTTCCTTCCTGGTTATTGTGTTATGTGGTTAGCTTTTCTTAATTATGTTACTATTACACTGCTTTTTATATTCCAAGGCAGCTTACAAAAAAGATCTTAAAACATGGTAATTCTGCATATTCTTGGCAGATTTTGCTCAATACAATACTCAGCAGTATTAATCCAGTTTAAATTATGCAAAGTATGTAAATGGTATCCTTGAAATCTTAGTACCAAGAAACTTCAAACTGGTCAGCAAAACCATTCACAGTACTATTTAACATCAAATCACGTATCAGTGAGAGAGCACATGAAAGCCACGAACAGAACAAGGAGTGGTGTGCAAAAGTAATTTTCATACAGCTTCATCAACTGAACATTGTGAACTAAATGTGATGAGTTGAAGTAAACAGTTAGAAGTGAGCAATCCTTTAAGAAGTGATATATGCAATGTAGCAGTTTTGTTGCCCTTTACAGCAGTGACCGGCAGTAAATAACTACTTGCATTCACACTTAAAAAAACTACTGAAATATTTTACCTTAAGCTGATGGTTAAAAGCATCCATTTCAGAGAGTTTGGAAGATGTTTCTTTTTCTAGTGCATCAAGCTGTTCTCTAAGTCTTTGGCATAATTCTTCCTTCTCTGAGGACTTTTTATATAGTGAATTAAGGTCTGTATCTGCAGATAAAAGACCAACTAATTCAATGTTTAACTTACAAACTTTTAATTTGTTTTTTTTTCTTGTTAACACATACATTTTTATTCCAATTTACATTTTCCTGCAATGATTATATCAATGGCTCACTATTACCTACATTTTAAAAACAAAGGGTTAGGATGAAAAGCTCAATAAGACTGACTTACTCAAAGACACTCAGTGGGCTGGATCACACAACACAACGGCCCATGTGGACAAGTGCGCCTGTGACACACTGTGTTGCACCAAGCAGGTCACAGAATCCAAAGTGGAACATGAATTTCTGCCAGGGGCTTGGTCCAGTACCCTGAATCACAGAGCTGAAGCCATCAAGTCCACTCTGTCCCCATTTACTGGAGGAAATCCAGAGCCAGAGCATCTCTACATTGATGGCTGTCTGACTGCTGTTTCAAGAGCTCCTGTCAGGGGCAACCCATCTCCCCCTAAGTGTTCAGTTCTCTCATTGAACTGCTGTTACCATTACAACATTGCTCCTTTTATTCAACCAAAACCTACCCTCCTAAAACTTACACTCATTATATCTAGTCTTGCTCTCTGGTGTAATGCTATTTTTTTTTTATCATGCAATCATCCTGTTTCATTCAGAGAATTTTACAATGTCCAGAGGATGCCATTTTTTGTTTGTAGTCCTCCCATCCTACTTCCATTTTTCTCTTACCAGAAAAAAGATGTTGAGGAAGAATCAGAACAGTTGCACAATACCTCTTGATTAGTAGTGGCAGGGGACCTCTGTCTGGAAGCACCCCACATCTTTGCGCTCTTCTATGTGACACCCCTTCAGGTAACTGAAGGGTACTCTCATGTCTCACTTCAATCTTTTCTTCTTCATTCTATGGATACTGAGTTTGCATGGCACAACAAACTACTCTGGCAATAAGGAAGCTATTTATGATAAGCCTGAAGAGAACTAAGCTCAGCATGAGCGCATTGTCCCCTCTCTCTCTCCCCCGCTCCTTCCCCCAGGCAGTATCCTAAGTTCCCCCTCTGACAGCCACAATTGTGAACCGATTTCTGCTCACTCTGGTTGCCAGAGTCCTTGTTACACAAACAGGGCTCAACTTGAGGGCCTCTGCGCGAATATAGTGGCATATAAGTCTAATAATGATGGATAAACAAACTTCCATGCTCAGTTGCTTTGAACAATGTGGAGAGGACTGCCTGCTGAATGCTGACCAAATGGAAGTTCAGAGTATGAACTCTGCTTGTGCAGAGTTCTTCATCCCTGTCATCTTATTTGTCCCACAGCACATACAGAGCTTTTGCAGAAGCACAAGGGGGAGGACACAAGAGGAAGGGAATGCTGAATGGACACTCCTTCTCCAGAGAGTGCAGGAGGTAGAGGTACCCCACCTGCCTGGCCATGCTGCCTTGAGTACAGGGCAGCATAGCTGAGAGGGTCGCCATCTCCTACCTCCTGCTACAGAATTCTCCTCTCAGGCAGGAGGGGGAAGGAGGCAGGGGTGCCTGATTCACTTGGTGGCACTGCAGGACACCACAGAGCAGATCCCCATGGGCAGCTGGAAGAGCCTACTCTCAAGCTGCCAGGAATGGATCTTGGCCAACCCTGATGATGATTTAAGAGTAGACTTCCTAAACTGCCTGGAAAGATATCCACTTCTCCTTACTGAAAGGATATCCACTTCTCCTTATTGAGAGGAGCTGCATTCTTAGGCAACAGGCCTAAGACAGACCATGGGTTCTTAGGATGGGTTTGTTGGAAGAACCAGCCCATCCTGGGTGACTCAAGCTGTGTTCACACAGCCTGTATTGTCCAAACCAGTTTCAATGACACCATAATGCCCACCTAACTGCATTTTTATCCCCAACATTGAAATATACCAGTTGAGACTTTGAAATATACCAGTTTCAGTTTTCCTAAAACATGTAACATGACAGACAATTACTCTGTCTGTCTGTATGTCAGTGTTGCAAAGTGGATTTTACCAGTCCTTAAAATTTGTATGAAATACAACAGATGAAGAATGCTTTAATAACTACTAATACCCTGTTAGCATTGTCTATGCTTTTTGTTGTTCATTATGCAACTCAGGCTTTTCTTTATTTCAGTGAAACCCTGGTGCCTCATAGTTCACTCAGCCAATTACCCACTTGGTTGTTCTGAAATCTGTTGTCATCTCCTAGCAGGGTCCACCCTTAGCCCTTCTTTTTCCCATCCTGCCTTCTAATGACTGCTTCTACTTCATTCCAGTAAGCAAAAGAAAATTGAGAATGGATAAAAATGAATCATTTATAATATACTTACTCAGGGAGTTGTCCTGGTGCATATTTTTTATCTTCTCATTTAACTGCTTTTTTTCAGGAACAAGGAGGTTCAGCTTATTCTTATATTCCTGCAGGCAAGTTGCAGAAATATATCATCAACCAACTTCTTTTGGGATATCACAAAGGCAATCTGACAATACAAATCTACAAGGTAGATAGGCTAATATATTTTGCATGGCAACTCTCTTCCTACCAGCAAAATGCATGTGGGGTAATCTTTGTTAGTCATATGATTTGTTGTTTGAAAGTAATTCTCTTGGACATACATAGAAACATGTTGGCTAATATGTCTGAACCTTATTTTCTATAACATTTCCTCATCATGGTTTCAACATGTTTCCTAAATTCTGTACAAATAATTGCAGAGTTTCATATCTGCCAAACAGAACAAACAAAGCACAATATTAAGCACTGGCTAAATTCACACATAACAACAACCCTTGTTGGAAAATGTGCAGGCATGGTTTGTTGTTACATGTGAACTCAGCTTCCATGAAAACACATAGAGAAACAATGCTTTGTTTTAAAGTTTCCATGTTTCACCATGACTTGTTATGTGTGACCCCCGTTACAATGTTTCTGTGTGGCTTCCACATTTTCACCAATGAGCTTGGCGGCAACAATGGCTGTGCCTTCAGGAGATACTCCAGCCTCCATTTTTTGCGGCCCTGTTCTGCTGAGGCAGCTGCAGCCCTGCTCTGATTCATGCCCCCTTCCTCTTCTATCTGCGCACTGCCTTCCCAATGCCAGGTGAAGGTCTGGAATACCGGTCACAGTGGGGCATCCTGCTACGCCATCTCGAGCAGCAGAGCAGCAACCGTGGAGGCAGCCACACTTGGTGCTCCAGTCTCGTCACGGCACTTTGCTGGAAATGGCTGCATGTTCTACTCAGGGAGCCAGTGGAAGGCCACCTTGCCCACGAGGAGGTTGTGTGTGGCTGTGTGTGGGTGTTGCCATCAGGGAGATGCCCTGAGAAGCCCATGTCTCCCATTCTGTCTCCTGCCCCACCTCCACTCTTGTCCTTGACGTTCCAAAGGATTCTCAGCAAGCCCTACTGTCTTCTACCACCCACTGCCACAGTGCAGGACAAACACATTCCTTGCAGATGCCCAGACAGGCGTCCTCAGAGAAGTCTGCCGGGCAGGAAGAATTCCCTCTGTCCCCGCCGCGTGTGCACATGCTGATGCCCTCTGTGTGTCTGGCTGCTCTCCCTGGCAACATGTGTGAGTTCCATGCAGCGTGGATGAATGTGCAGTGAGGGAGCAAGGAGAGGTATATGTGGTGTACTTGTTGGCACAGAGCAGGGCAACAGCAAGGAGTACTCCTATAGTGCTACTCTAGAGCAACAGGGCTACACTAGTGAGTAGCCAGTTGGTTTGCTGAGTGCTGAAAAAAATCAAAAAGAGGAAGCCAGCTGCAGCCATACCCAGGAAAGCATATAGGCCAATGAGGGAGAGGCAGGCAGGAGCAGTGTGCCCTGTGATTGATTTCTAGCTGTGGGGGATGATGAGATATCTGTTGCCATTTGGAGGGATACGGAGAAACATAGAAACCATGTGAATGTGTGAACCCAGGACGCAAGCGTTGAACCAGTGCAGAGAATTGAAAAAACTTTATCTTAAATGAATTAAAACAGGAACCACATAGGAATAAATATAACATGATAACGCACAGCATGCCTGGGAGTCTAATACCTAGATACCCTCTGAAGAAGGCCCATTGCAGTGAATGCAGAAGCAGGCATGCTACAGGCAGGTATAGATTCCACAATATCAAAACAAATGTGCTAGCAAATTGTATTAGGAATGTTAGTAATGTTTAATTATGTTTCTTGTTATTATATTAATTGTATTGTTTTTGTTAGTTTAATAAAAAGTATAACAATAAAACATAAAGAACAAAGAAGGTTTTGTGATTTGTCCATTTTCCTGAACATTTGTCATGACTTGCAATATAAGCTATAAGCTTTAATTTGTATAAATTACAGAAGCCTATATTCTGTTTTATCTTTCAATTCCTATTCTCCTTACAAAGCTTATGGAGAAATCATTCTGTTATGTTAATTGTGAAGTCATGTCCAACCCATCGCGACCCCATGAACAACATTCCTCCAGGCTCACCTGTCCTCCACCGTCCCCCAGAGTGCACCTAAGCTCACACCAACTGCTTCAGTGACTCCATCTAGTCACCTCATCCTCTGCCCTACCCTTCTCCATTTGCCATCAATCATTCCCAGCATTAGGCTCTTCTCCAGGGAGTCCTTCCTTCTCATTAGGTGGCCAAAATATTTGAGTTTCATCATCAGTATCTGGCCTTCTAAAGAGCACTCAGGGTTGATCTCCTCTAGGACTGATTGGTTTGATCACCTTGCAGTCCAAGGGACTCGAAGGAGTCTTCTCCAGCAGCACAATTCAAAGGCTTGAATTCTTCGGCTCTCAGCTTTCCTTGTGGTCCAACTTTCACAGCCATACATTGTGACTGGGAAAACCATAGCCTTGACTATATGAACTTTTGTCAGTAGGGTGATGTCCCTGCTTTTTAGTGTGTTGTCTAGATTTGCCATAGGTTTCCTCCCCAGGAGCGTCTTTTACTTTCTTGGCTACAGTCCCCATCTGCGGTGATCTTGGAGCCCAGGAAAATAAAATCTGTCACTACCTCCATTTCTTCCCCATCAGTTTGCCAGGAAGTGATAGGACCAGATGCCATGATCTTAGTTTTCTTAATGTTGAGTTTCAAGCCAACTTTTGCGCTCTCCTCTTTCACCTGCATCAAGAGGCTCTTTACGTAGTTCCTCTTTACTTTCTGCCATTAGAGTGGTATCATCTGCATATCTAAGGTTGTTGATATTTCTCCCAGCAATCTTAATTCCAACTTCTGATTCATCTAGCCCTGCCTTTCGCATGATGTGCTCTGCATACAAGTTAAATAGACAAGGCGACAGTATACAGCCTTGCTGAACTCCTTTCCCAATTTTGAACCAATCAGTGGTTCCGTGTCCAGTTCTCACTGTTGCTTCTTGACCCACATATAGGTTTCTCAAGAGACAAATAAGATGGTCTGGGACTCTCATCTCTCTAAGAACTTCCCACAATTTGTTGTAATCCACACAATCAAAGGCTTTAGCATAATCAATGAACCAGAAGCAGATGTTTTTCTGGAACTCCCTAGCTTTCTCCATGACCCAGCATACTGTATGTTGGCAATTTGATCTCTAGTTCCTCTCCCTCTTCGAAATCCTGCCTGTACATCTGGTAGTTCTCAGTCCACATACTGCTGGAGCCTAGCTTGTAGGATTTTGAGCATAACTTTGCTAGCATGTGAGATGAGTGCAATGGTGCGGTAGTTTGAACATTCTTTGGCATTGCCCTTCTTTGGGATGGGAATGTAAACTGACCTTTTCCAATCCTGTGGCCACTGTTGTGTTTTCCAAATTTGCTAGCATATTGAGTGTAGAACTTTAACTGCATTGTCTTTTAGGAGTTTGAATAGCTCAGCTGGAATACTGTCTCCTCCACTAGCTTTGTTATTGCTAAGTCTTCCTAAGGCCCTTTTGATTTTACATTTCAGAATGTCTGGCTCGAGGTCAGCAACCACCCCATCATGTCATTTTGGAGATTGTTCCCAGTACTGCTTTTCCTACTCTTTTACGGACTATGAAGGCTACTCCATTTCTTCTGAGGGATTCTTGCCCGCAGTAGTATACCTGATGGTCATCTGAATTAAATTCACCCGTTCCTGTCCATTTTAGTTCGCTGATTCCCCAGATGTCGATGTTCTGTCTTGTCATCTCATGTTTGACCACGTCCAGTTTGCCTTGATTCATGGATCTTACATTCTAAGTTCCTATTCAGTGTTGTTCTTTACAGCATCGGACTTTCCTTTCACCGCCAGATACATCCACAACTGAGTGTCCTTTCAGCTTTGACCCAGTCTTTCTGGCGCTACTAATACTAGCCCTCCGCTCTTTCCCAGTAGCAATGAGGAGAAATCATTAAAACATATAAAACATTTCTATCAAGCTCTTTATCCTAATAAATCCTTTGAAAAGAAAGGCTATGTTAGATACCCAGCTTTACCTCTCATTCTCCACTAATCCAGGTGAGGCAGTGGCTGTGCTGAACCAGTGCTTGGCCGAGGTAAGGGAATGGATGAGGGCCAATAAACTGAAACTCAACCCAGACAAGACGGAGGTCCTGTTGGTTGGCGGATCGGGTTTCGGAGAGGGTGGATTTGACCTGGTCCTGAATGGTGCAACACTCCCTCTTAGGGATAAGGTCCGCAGCTTAGGAGTACTCCTCGACCCGGAGCTTTCTTTGGAAGCTCAGGTGACAGCGGTAGCAAGGAACGCCTTCCTTCAGCTTCGGCTGATTAATCAGCTGCGCCCCTACCTGGAATACGACTGCCTGGCGACGGTGACACACGCGCTGGTGACTTCCCGCCTAGACTTCTGTAACGCGCTTTATGTGGGGCTTCCCCTGAAGACAGTCCGAACACTTCAATTGGTGCAAAATAGAGCTGCCAGGTTGCTGACGGGGACGGGGCGTTATGCTCACATGACTCCAGTCCTCCATCAGCTTCACTGGCTTCCCATTGAAGCCCGGGCCCAATTCAAGGTGTTGATTATGACCTACAAAGCCCTAAACGGCTTGGGTCCTGGCTACCTGAACGAGCGCTTACGTCCGTATATGCCCGACCGCCCTTTGAGATCTGCGGGAGAGTCCCTTCTCCAGGAACCCTCCATGAAAGAAATTAGGAGAGTAAGTACCCGGAGGAGGGCTTTCTCTGCGGTGGCGCCCAACCTATGGAATTCACTCCCCAAAGAGGTCCGCCTGGCACCGTCGTTACTGGTTTTTCGGCGCCAGGTAAAGACCTTTTTATTTAAACATCATTTCAATTGTTAAAACATATGATCTGGCCTGGGCAACTTCTTCTTCCTTCTCTTTCTCCTCCTATATTTTTATTTTATACTGATAATTTTAATTTTGTATTTGTAAATCAATGTATTTTTTGTATTGTTATATTTAATGGTAATTTATTATGTACTATTGTATTTCAATGTATTTTATCATGTTGTAAGCCGCCCCGAGGTTTCGGCAAGGGGCGGCATAGAAATGTTATAATAATAATAATAATAATCATCATCATCATCATCATCATCTTTGGGAACTCCAGCTATATGTGAGAGACTATTTGCATGGAAACCAATACTATTAGTAATTGGCCTTTAGTTAGTAGAAACCAATCTAAAAAGAAGTGATTTCAATTTTTAAAGGAGAAAATTCCCTCCATTTTTTCCTTTATTCTCTGGAATCAACAAGGAAACAATTCCAGGCTTAATGGGGGATCACATACTTGAAGCTGTTGCTCTAGCTGCTTGATTTCAATAGTTTCCAAATCACATTTCTTTTCCAAAAGATCCAACTCGGTTTTTTTATTTTGTTTTTGGTTTCGAACATCTTGCAATCTCCCAGAGATCTGCTGGTGTTTGCCATCCTGCAGAGAAAAGAGACATCAAACATCTAATGCAACAACTTAAAGCATTTCTCTAACATACATGTGCCAACAATAGTCCCCGCAAAACAGGAATGTTGCCAAAATTATTTTGTGTTAATTAAAATAAAAATAAAAAGTAGATTTCTAGTCTCCCTCTTCCTTCTCTTCAGAAAATAGTTACAACTCGACAAATGTTGAAACTCAAATCATTCTTCAGCTACTTAATAAGTGGCAAAGGCAAGTCCTTTAAACTTTTCAGACACTCTAGGCTTTGAAAAGTCTTCTATACATGGAAGTTACAGAACTGTAAGCAATGCTTCTTTCCAAACTCCTGTTCTGCTAATTTAGAAAATGGAGGAGGGTAGTCCACCGAAACCATTGACCAAGGTTGCTACTGAACACACAGCAGGAGAGCTTCATTCATTCATTGAATGCTGATATTGCATAGGAGAGAGAATTGCTAAGGGCATTCAAGAAGCAAAAGGAAAAGGTGACAGAATCTGGAATGCAACTTTTCAGTGACTATCACAAAGAGACAAGAAGAACTATTACAAAGAAATAGAAGAGAACAATAAAAGATGGAAAACAAGAGACCTTTTCCAGAACATCCAAGAAATCAAAGGAAAATTCAAACCTAGATTAGGACTGTTGAAGATAAAGGAGTCAGACTATCTGAGCAGGAGAAAATAGGCTTAGAACTATCAGAACTATTCCAAGCTGCAGAAATCAGTCCAAATTCTAATAAAATACAGTGGTGCCTCAGCCCATGAATGCCTTGGTTCACAACCAAATCGGGTCACGAACAAAAATTCTATGAAAATTTTGACTTGGGTCGCAAGCTCTGCATTGGGTGGCAACCAAGATTGCGGCCATCTCCCCACCGCCTCCCCCCGAGTGGGAAGAAGGCCACAATCGCAGTTGTATTTGTGCAGGGAAGACATTTGCAACATTTGCAAAAAAAAAATGCAAAATCTTTTTTGCAAAATGTTGCAAAAATTTCTAGGATATACTTGTGGTTAAAAGCCTGGAGAAAATAAAGTTATACTGATGAATATCACCCACACTGTTGTTCCGCTGAGCTTTGGACGTTCTTATCTCTGATCAAGGCCTTCCACTGCATGACAAAGCCCATTTGTGTGATTGCACAAAGACCATGAAGAAGAGCTGCTCTAACAAACAGGAATATACAACAACTGCATGGAAATGCAATACATACTTGTAGTCCTACATGTCTTTTAGTAATAAGACTTACCAATGCATCCAGTTCGAGATTAAGGCTTTTCTTTTTAGAGCTCAGCTTGACCATTTCTTCTTGTTCTTTACTACGTTGATTGAGAAGATCTTGACGGCGAATCCTCTCCCATTCCAGACGTCGTTGGCGCTCAAGTTCTTGCTTTGCTGCCTGCAGATAAACAGAACATATCTATTAAAATACCATAAGATATGTGCAAGTATTGATTTATGCTCAGCATAATGTTTTTTAATTTTCCAGACAGTGCTATTTTTCACTGGATTTGTCATGCATTCCAGTGAAAAATTGACAGGGAAGGGCAAAGACTGGCTGATTCCCTAATTCCCTTACCACTTTGCTGCCATCACTGCTGCAGATAGCCACGAGCAGCTGTTGCTATTTGACATCAGAAGCAGCGTGAGAGGAAGTCCCCTGCTGGGAACTGTTACAACTTAAGTGGGTCTGTCTGATCTGAAAGCTCAATGAAATGCCCTCTGTAGTAGCACTAACTAACAACTGTTTGCATGCCATACTCCTGCCACATTAGTTTTCATTTCCACTAGAATACTGATTTGATGAACCTATTTCTAGTTTAACAGTGATAACATTTTCAACTTTTAATATAATTGTAATCTGTATTCTGAAAACTGGAGATAACCCTGAAGGCATCGTGAAAGAGTCCATTCAGCAAGAGAATGTCCATTGGTAGTGAGCTGAACTCCCCCTCTCCACATTTTCTTTACAAACGGAAATGCAAACTGCTCTCAGCTAAAATGGGAAATTGCAATCACAAGCAGCATCAGACAAGTGTGCTGCACTTGCTTGTAATTACTGTACATACATTTTTATTTTCCAGGATATCTGCATATTCTTGCCATGCCACTTGAGAACCAAAATGCAGGCACAGTGCAAGGCAGTGTGCTGCCCAGGCAGAGGTTTGGATTTTGAAATAAACCAGGTTTCCAGTCCTATATTTTGCATTTTTTCCCTGAATGACTAGGATAATGAAGGACATCAATGCTAGTATACTTGGATGCTATGCCATATTTTAAAACTGACTGGTTTCTTGGGTAAATTGCCAGAATTCATAAAATGAAAGTCAAAAGAAGAATAAAACAAATCCTAGCTTCTTAGCTGTTAACCCATTACTTAGATCAATCAATTACTTTATGTTTTGGTTCTCACCCATTCAGGGAAATAACTTTACCACAGTGACAAATTTAAAATACAGGGCTGTATGCAATACTGACCTGTGCTCCAGTGGGATGTACCACTACACCAATAGTTCCTGAATATTTGAGAATGAATGAAAATGCTAATTTCTGAAACAGCACAAGTCAGAAGGGAACTTTGCTGACCTATGCCTTTCCAGAAATGAGCATTTCCACTTGTATACAGGGGTCCTTTAGAAAAGTATAGTTCCTAATATTCCTGTGGGTGCAACAGAACCAGTGAAGTGGCAATGTTAGATACAGCCCATATTTCCCAAAGATTTAATAAATGGAACATTTAAAGCAACCTCCCGCCTCTCTATTTCTTTTCTCTTTTCTTCCTCCCTTTGTTGTTCGATTTCTCTTTGTTTTTCTAAGTGCCTCTCCAGTTCAAGTTGCTTCTTCTGTTCTCGTTCCTGCTGTTCCCTCTCCCACCGTTCTTTTTCTTCTCTTTCCTTCTGTGCTTTACGTTCTGCTTCTCTTTGCTGCTGCTCCAGCAACACTTGACGCCGTTTCTCCAGTTCCATGTTGCCTCTTTCATAGTTTGCTTTCCTCTTATCCTCAAATGTAACTAGATTAAAGAATGATAAATGGCTCTATTATAAAATATTTTCAAGATGCTGGCATATCTCCTCCTACTAATATGTTATTAAACAAAACTTTTAATTTTGGTATCAAAAACTTTTTAAAACCTTTATATTATTCTGGTTCTAATCCAACAATCCCAGGAGATTTTTCCTATTTTCAACTTATTAATACTTTCCTCTATTTCTTCTTTAATTGTTTGTTCCATTATGTCTATATCCATCTGTTGTAGTTTCTCCCCAACAATTTTCTCTGTATATGATCTGACTTTGTGTAATGATAATTCTCCACCTATGTATAACTTTGAAAAAAAGTTATAAAATATTCTCAATTTATCTCTTGTTAAATTACATTTTTACCATTTTGGCCTCAAACTATTCCAAATGAATGTTTTAGCTTCTTAAGATTAGTTTTAGTTTCTTTAGTTTTAGTTTCTTTAGTTGTGCAGAATAGGCAAACAACCTTGAATTCTAATTACTACATTCAGAATAATCTCTCCTCAACTATATCACATTTCTTTGCATTTTTTCAATTTCCACATTTTCTAATTCCTTTCTTTTAGCTTTCATTCGTAGTAGGATTTTTAAATCTCTCTTTTGCTGCTTCCTATTCCTTTAAGCTCAAGCATTCTGCATTCATTTTTATGGCCACAGCATCCTCCTCCTCCTTTTGATAGGCCTGCTGTAAGCAACGTAACTTGGCCCCCATAATTCAGTCATAATGTGCTCAAATGTTAAACCAAACTGAAGTCAAGCATATACAGATGAAATAACATTTTAAAGGCAACATTGCACTGCAACAAGAAAAGCAAAGAATCCCATTATTACCTGGAAGTTTTTGAGGGGGTTCCTCTTCTTGCTTTATCTGGTATGTTGGTAGAGCACAATTAGTATTTTCACCACACCTTCCACTTCTAGAGGGAAGAAAGGGCAGATTTATGTTTAAAACATCTAGTCATTTAGCATTTCTGGTACAATTTTAACAACCTGCTATCGTTATGTACCTCAAAGAAGGTGGAACCAACTCAGGAGGCAGACTTAGTGGGAGGGGCTGCCCAGCTTTAGCCATATCAGTTAAATGCATAGCTAATATGAACTCCTCAGCTTTCAGCTGTCCGTTACCATCAATGTCAGCTAGGGACCTAAGAAAGACAGAACAACTGTGTTAATAGAACAGAGGGAAATGGGGACAGAAGTTTCATTGTTCCAGTAGAATATCTTCATGAATATATCTTACTATAGTCCTTCGAAAGGGGTATCCCATGTATAAGACTACAAAGAATTTTAAACATTGACAATATATTGGATTAATATGTATTTATGCTTTGTCCACTTGATATGTATTATTATGTTTAATTTTCTAAAGATTATGAAAAATATAACAATGTTATTTAAAGTTTTCCTTGAGAGCCTCTCATTAGTTCACTGTCATTTGTTCTGAGACTCATAAGTAAAAGAAAAAATGAACCCAGAAAAATATGAAGTGAAACAAATATAGTACTCTCTTTTCCTCTACAGATCTGCAATCTAAGAATATACATAACATAATAGTATACCATTAAACTCATATTATGCAAAACAGTACAGTTTTTTAATCTACAATTTCTTCAAAAATCACTCTCCATTTGTTAACACTGTAAATCTATTATAAACTTCCACAAAAGTATCTGGATATTACTAATCCATGAGCAACTTACCAAATAGTAGCCAACTGCGTCTGGGATAAGTTTGATTGCAGAAGAGCATTTTTTGCCTGAAATCCTATTAAAATTGATTAAGTATATTAATAGGCAAATCTAGTATATTAATAGGCAAACCAAACAAACAGTGATGCAGACTGTAAACAACTAAACCAACTGGCTATCCTGGTTTAACTTTAAATCTCACCCCAAAGGAACCCAAAGAAACATGTCCTGAAAAGATGGACCCTAAGTCAGTGGTTCCCAGACTTTTTTGGGCAGTTACCTGTTGGGTGACAACCCAAGCGCCTGTGCCTCTTTCTTTGTATTAGAGGTGCTGGGGTTGTCCTACCTGAGGTGGACTGATCAATGCCCCTTGCTTGCCTGGCTTCTCTCTCCCCGTCTCTCATCCGCTCTCCCACCAGGGCACTGGGAGGGGGGAGCCATGGTGAGGGGCAGCTTGCAGGACTGTGGGAGGGGGGTTGAGGCAGTCTTCTTGGCAGTCCTCAGCAGCAGCGACGGCAAAACAGCGGGGGACAGCCTTGGGCACCAGCTGGCTTAAGAGAGCCTGCGGGGAGGAGGGTCATGGCTTGCCCAGCTCCTCTCTCCCCTACCCTTGTCCCCGTTCTCACAGGGGCATCAGGGTGGGGGCACTGCGGAGGATGGCAGCTTGCAGGGCTGGGGGGTGGTGAGGCAGGCTCCTCAGTGGCCCTTTTTACAAACCTTTGCCTTTTGTTCTCTTTGTTTCTTTTGTAGTTGTACTCTATACAGGTAGTCCCTGTGCTATGGACGTTCTGTTCCTGAGAATGCCCTTTAGCTGGATTTGTATTAAGTCAGATCAAATGATTAAGCCAAATGTTTGTCTTAGTATATGTATATATTTTACCTTTCCATGCATATAAAACACTTTAAGATACATTTCAATATACGCTAAAACATCTTAAACACAATACAGCATTGTAATAATGATACCAATACAGTAATCATAAAATAACTACAGGTGCAGGCAGATTGCATAACTGTAACTATCAGTCTTTGATGGTCATCTGTGCAGCAGCACGTTCAGCAAGATTCCTCTTGCTAAACCTAGAAGTTTTGGTGGAAGCCTGCCCCTCTTCTCCATTATATAAATAGGAGAGCTCCTGCCATTTTCTTAGTTCAACTGGAGACCAACATTTACCCTTTTAATAGGTCCCTGAATGTCCTATCACTATGCAAATACTAGGAAAAGGGAGAGAAAAATTATCCACCGACACTGATGCAGGGGCGGTGGGTGGGTAGCGTGAATGCATAGGTGATCACTCAAAGAATGACAGGTACAGGTATGCAACCTTCCTTTTCTTCATCGTGGTCCCTGTGCATCCCATATATGGGTGACTAGCAAGCATACCATTAAAGGAGGTGGGAGGAGTCATTACAAAAGAATGGATGACAACACAGCCTGACCAAAGGAGCAGTTCTGTCTGGTTCTCACATCAAGCCAATAGTGTTGGATGAATGTGGGTTGTGTTGACCATATAACTGCTTTGCACAATGCATCTAATGGTGGTCCTGCGCGGAGGGCCACTGATGTTGATATCGCCCTGGTGGAATGTGCTCTAGGACTGTCTGGCAAGTCCAAGTTCACTAGCTGGTATGCTAATTTCCTATTTTAATGTTCAATCAGTTTTATTCTGGGTTTTATTATTGAGGTTGGATGCAACCTCAATAATTTTGTTTTATATTTTCATTTTTTTCTTCTTCTTGTAAGCTGTACCAAGACGCTTGTAGCGGACGGTCTAAAAAAGCTTTTAATAGAAATAAAATAATTTAATCGTCTCTACAATCCAATGCATGAGACTTTGGGGACCAATTGCATCACCTTTGGAGTGTTCCACATATTTTATGAACAGTCATTTTGTTTTGCAAACTGACTTGGTTCGGGACCAATGGAAAGCGAATGCATGACAAACATCAAGCATATGCAGCACACTTTCAACATCTGTAGATGGTGATGGGTAGAATGCCAGGAGCACTGTTTCTTGATTTATATGAAAGGAGGAAGAGACTTTAGAACAGGGGTCTTCAAACTTTTCCACCAGGGGGCCAGTTGAAAGCTGCCGGTGCTGGGTATGGGCCGGAAAGGTGGTGCTGGCAGTGCGTGTGGGCCAGCACGGAGGTGGTGCATGCAGGCGCGCACACTGAGGCTGGGGTGGGGCGCACAGTGAGGCAAGGTGAGGCGGGGCATGGGGGGGCAGGCACGCACCACAAGGCGGACGCACGAGGCAACGGCTTGCTCAATTGGAGAATGTTTTCTCCGAGTGAGCAAACCACTGCCTCCCGAGCACGGGGCAAGGTGGGTGTTGAAGGGCATGCCCGTGGGCACGGGCACACACGCAGCAGGTCCAAATGGGCATGGTGGGCCAGATCTGTCCCCCGGGCCATAGTCTGAGGACCCATGCTTTAGAAGAAAGGATGGATCTATGCAGCCACTCATGATGTATCGCCAAATGCATTGTGTAGTTCCCTTGAGATATTTGTGGCTTTTCTTAGAGATATCCATACAAAGTTTATGGTAGAGTGGGCATTTGTAAATATGGATTGTTTATAACCCAGGGTTTACCTGTAATGTCCCCCTGCTGCTCTCATTTTCCTTACCGCCCCCCTAGATCTTTCCACAACCCACTTTGGGTTGTACTGCTCTACATCAATGAAGAATTACGCTTAAGTAATGAATGTAGGACTGAAAATTAATTTCTATATTCATGAATATGTAAATTCATTTAACTATTATGTGTATAATGGGGTTTTATTTCCTAATCTAGGTCAGGCAACAATTACTTCATTTGAGGAAAATGAAGTATTCTACAACATGTAATAAAGGCATAAATCCATGACCATCCACCCCAGCAGCTCTTGTGTGCCTTCCATATCTGCTCTGTAGGGTTCCCCAACGCTTCACAGCAGATTTGACAGAAGACGAAGTAGGAGGAGAAACCCAGCAACTGCTATTCCACTGGCTGAGTCACACCACCTGGATTAAAGACAAAGCCTCTGCACTAGCTATCCCTTTCCTTCAGAAAAATAACCCTTTCAGAAGATATCACATAAGGACAGAAGGGAATTATTTTTGTCAATTAAACCATGAACTAAAGTTATGAGCTGCGGCAAACCAATATTTTCCTCACTTTGTCTTTAATGCTCTTGAGTATAAAATGTGACCAGGCATCTATAGGTGTTTGCATTACTATACATTTATTGCTGACTCTTCCCCTTTAGCTCACCTCTGACCCAATTCTTTACACGATTCTGCACCAATCACCTAGGAGATGTATGATCAGGTCCTCTTGAACTATAGACTGGTCAATGTCATTTTCTGACCTCTCTGTGCAAGTTTACTTGCTTTGTCTTCAAGTGACTATCAAAAAGTCAAGGCAGGACTCTGTTATGCTGTTGTGCCTCATTTGTGTTTGGTGTGCCCCCACCCCGATAAGCTGCTTAAGATTTAGATTCCTAATTGTAAAGACTTAGCTACTTGGTTCTAGTTCAAATTTTGCTTTTATAGTAACTGACCAATTCTTAACTTCACTTTGATAAAAATACTCATTTGGAAATTGGAATTGTTTTGGTTCCTTTGCCTAGTCTAGTGGTTCATTGTATTCATGAACTGGACTTCCACAGTCCAGCTATGGAATTCACTGCCCCAGGGAGGGGCCACCAATCTGGATGGTTTTAAAAGAGGGCTGGACTAATTCATGAAGGAGACTATCCATGGCTACAGTTTTTGCTGGCCACGTGCCATCTCTGTTATCAAAGGCTGCATGTCTGTGTACAGCACCTAATGAGTAAACTCCAAGTAAATCTTGCCCAATGGCTCAACTAGGATGATGAATGTATACAAGTTCTCTCTTAAGAACTATAATAAGAAGCACTAAAATAATTAAATCTAATACTAACCTGAAAGGTATCCACTCATCCCTTTGTCAAGGCTATTAAATTTCTGCCTGTATTTTAACCTGGAAGCCTGAGGAACTGCCCAATCTGAAGATCCAGTCTTAGGTGAATTCCCAGTTAGTGAGGTAGTAGAAGAAGAATTTGAACTGCAATAAGAAAAGAGAGTCATGTTTTTTTTAAAAATGGTCCAATATATAGTACATTATAGCAACATCATTCAAAATGGTCATTCTTTATTTTGATTTCTGTATGAATAAATTGATTGCACACTTCTTGGGGAAAAATTTGTGTGCTTCCAGCTGAGACTTTAGTGTGCAATCACCATGGGTCATTTACTTTCATTTTACAATGATGGTTCCAAATGATATTTTTATCCAATTGTAATCAGCCCATGTTTTCCCAATGTTTTATCTTCTATCTAGCTTCCAGATACATGGCTCCTGATTCTGCCAGTCACAAGGTACTCATCTGGTTCCAATGTGCAATGTCAATTCAGAGGTTGTTTAACCCACCAATTAGTTGATTTCCACCAGAGCATGTGAGCACCCCACTTCCGGCTTTCATAAACAGCCCAGGAAAGGCAAGTTGCTTATCTGTAACTGTCATCCTTTGAATAGTCATCTGGGTATTCACACATTTTCTGGAGCCTGTTGCCAGGAAGATTTAATAGCTGAGAGTGTTTAGGCAGGAATTCCTCCCCTTGCAACTGTATAAAATGGTTTCCGTCATTTTTCCTCGGTTCCAAAAAAAAACCACCTGGTGGCTTTGGGACTAAGGGAGAAATAACAGAGTAGGGGTTCCTACCCTGCCCACAGCAAGGTGGCACTGTTCCAGAATAGTACCATAAAGTGGCACTAGGAGGACAGCAGCACTGAGTCCACTTTAGCAGATTCGTATCAAATCTGCCATTAAACAGGGAAATATTTGGGGCAGAAGATGCTGACAGTACACAGACAGCTAAGTTGCTCACAACACCCAGAGCAGTAGGTGAGGCAGTTGTATGAATGCGCAAATGACTACTTAAAGAAAGATACTTACAGGTAAGCAACTTGCCTTTCATCTTTGTGGTCCCTGTGCATCACACATGTGGGCAACTAGTAAACTTACTCATACAGGGTTGATGGGTGGAGTTGTCATTTTAGAACCACTGAAAGAACTGCTCTCCTGAAAACACAGTCTGCTCTGGCCTGGACACCAAGGTGACAATGTTTGAACATGTTGACCATGTTGCCACTTTGCACAGGTCTGGTAACAGGATACCTGCCTGCTATGCTGTAAAAGGCACCACCCCTTGGGTCGAGTGTGCTTTAGGTGGTACTGGGAGCTGCAGTCCCACTAAGTCATAAGCCAGAATAATTGTTCAAGCAACCTAAGCTGATAGCCTGAGGTGAGAGAGGCTGACATTTTGCCTTGCATCCATAACAAACAAGAAGTTTGGGGAACTGACAGAAGAACTCAGCTGAGAAAGCAGCCCTCTTTGTCTGGTACAATATTCTAGCGGCTGGTTCCAGAGCTGCTTTGAGAACAGAGTTTAATTGTTCCTGGAGAGGAGTGTGTGTGCGCTCTAGGGATGGATCCTCCATGCCATCAGATGAAGGGTTTTGATGTCCAGATGTAGTAGCATCCCGATCGTACAGGATCAGGTCTGAAACCAGCAGGAGCTGGATGTAATTCTCCCTGGACAGGATGATGATCCAGGTGAACCATGGTCAGGAATAAGATGGAGATGTATCCTGAATTTCACCCTCTGATATGGATGCCAAGAAGGGATCTAGTCTTGGTAGTGGCCCTGGTGTTGACAGCTGTAGGGAGGCACCGAGGGGAGGCTCAATGTCAGATGGTACCAGGCATGGTTCCATGCGGTGCTGTTTAGGCTTTGGTACTGCAGAGTCTTTAGAATGCCCTTCCTTTGCTCACTTGGCAATTTTTTGGCCTTCTTGTGCTTCACCATATTGCCTAGAGTAGGAGACAGTGAAGAGGCCACCAAAAGTGTAGCTGAAAGTGCTGTAGCTGAGGGAGACGGCACCAATCTGCTTGAGCAGATTGAGGCAACTGTAGATGCCCTCCACAGTTTTTCCCTACATGCCCTCCCGACCCTTAAGATCTGCAGCAGAGGCCCTGCTCCAGGAACCCTCCTTGAAGGAGATTAGGAGACAGAACACCTGGAGGAGGGCTTTCTCTGTGCCAGCTATGGAATGTGCTCCCTAAAGAGGTCCACCTGGTGCTGACATATGCTTTTCGGCGCCAGGCCAAGGCCTTTTTATTCACCTAGTATTTTAATGTTTAAAAGATTTTAATTATGTTTTACTTCAGTTGTGGGTGATTAGTCTTATCATTGTTTGGGGTATTTATGATCTTTTATACTGTTGTATTTATTGAATTTGTTTGTAAGCTGCCCAGAGATGCATAGTGATTGGACTGGTTAGAAATATCCCAAATAAATAAATGGGCAGGAAGACTCAAAGTCGAGGCTTCAATGGCACAGGGGGACTTGTTAGGCTTCACATGGAGCTGATGAGTTCATTTTTCCACACCCACTTGGAGAACAACTGGCAGTGAGAACATTTATCGATGACATGCCATTCTCCCAGGCACACAAGCAATGAATGCCCATCAGTCAGGAGCAGTCTGGCAGTGCAATGGATGCTTTTTCAGAAAAGGGCCTTCAGAGCCATCAGGAAAACATGTAAGAAAAGCAAGAAATAGTAAATAATAATAAAAAGGAGATAGGTTGTGTGGACAAAGAGGATTTCTTTTTGTATGTTGCGTGTGTGCATACATGTGTGCGTGCGTGCGTGCGTGCGTGCGTGAAGGAGCAGAAAATTTTGTGAGGGTTAAGAAATAAAGGGATCAGAAAGATGTCAAGGGTAATTAGAAAAGGGTTGAGGACAAACACTTCAAAGAGAAAAGAATGTAGAGAAAGAACTTTCCAATGCACCAAAGGTGGTTGAAGAAGACCAGAGGGGATATGGTAGAAGTTCCCCACATGGGGGGGGGGTGCCCACCAAAATGCTCTCAGCTATTAAATCTTCCCAGCAAAAGGCTCCACACAGGTGCAGAGCCCATGTGTGTGTGGTGCACAGAGACCATAAAGAACACCCCTGTTCCTGGTTCATTTGATGTGGTGTGTGAACTATCATAATAATCCTTTGAAACAGCTTATAGCTGGGGGTAAGTGTCAAGACTGGCTTCTTCAACTAATACGGGCAATTCCTCTCTTCTGAGCCATCTGCAACAGAAAGAAACTGCTGGGACTGCTGGCTGAGGAACACTAGAGATCAAGAGCCAGTGTGGTATAGTGGTTAAGAGCATGGGACTGGGACTCAGACGATCTGGGTTCAAGTCCCCGCTCAGCCATGGAGCCAACTGGGTGACTCTGGGCCAGTCACAGACTCTCAGTCCAACCTACCTCACAGGGTTGTTGTTGTGGGGATAAGATGGGGGAGGAGAGATGATGTAAGCTGCCTTGAGCCCTTTGTAGGAAAAAGACAGGATATAAATTGAAAAACAAACAAATAAATAAAATAAATCATAAGATCTTTTTTCCATCTAAGCATGAATAGGATTGTGCCTGAAAGATGTGTGGGGCAAAGGGAAGAAGATCTGGCAGAACTAGGAGCCTTCTGTTTGGAAGCACCTCTGGCCTGGAAAGACCATTGAAAGATAGCTTTGTGTTGGAAACAGTATAATCCTACATTTGAAGCTTGAAAATCCCATGCCCAAAAATCCATACCTACTAGATCCCAAATCTATCAGGGATTGTGTCTTCTGGATATTGGCACCACCAAATCCTCCTACCATGGGACTATATGAATTAGAATGAGGCAAAGCTGAAATAAGAGAAAAAATGATACAAGTGAATGAGTTAGCAGTCCAACTAACAGGCAGCAACACCTTCACTGATACCGACATAGACAGCTATCCTCACCTGATGAAGACCTGATTACTACAACAGGCAAGTCATATAGCACAGTATCTGTGTGCCATACTTGGATGCATTTGAATTACTTGTCTTTTGGAAAAGATCTGTAGAATCTGTATCAAAAGAACTGGCTCTTAAACTATTCTCACTGCAACACCCTAATATATAACCTAACTCTTTTGAATTTTTTGTTTACCCAAGGAGTTTCCATTTCCCCAATACTCCCTTTCCCTCTTCTGATCAAATCTGATTTTTCTCTTCCTATATCCTATGTACTGTTCTGAAAAAAAATCAATCATGCACTCTGTATTTATGTGTTTTTTAATCAACACTTAATTGATCAATCTTTAAACAGTTTTTGTGTGCATATAATTCTGCTTCACTATCTTGGTAGGAGTGGACTTCACAGCTTGCTAGCAGAAACAATGGTTGACTCTCAACTCAGCCAGAAATTTTAGAAAACTACAAGTGATACCAACTTACGTAAAAACAATGACTAGCATGGTCTTTAACCTCCAACAAATTTATCTGACTTACGTAGCATGCCAACAATTTCCTTTTATGGGGCGGGGGGACCTCAGTGGCTATGATCAAAAGTGGGAGGAGTGACAGGAAATCCTCTGATCAACTCTTCCTGTCATTAGTCCGTACAAAAATGACCTCTTCCAAACTGCTCTCCCACTGTGGGGAGAAGAGGAGGGGCCCTATCTTCCCAAACATAAGTTGTGTGCATGGTTTTCAGCACAAGAAAAGGGGTTAAGCTGCACTCCATATTCAGTTTATTCTCCATTGCAGTCTCAAAGGCTGTTATTCATTTTAAAAAAGTATTGTAGGGGTGGAGGTAAAATCACATATAGATTTGCTTCACATTTCATGGCAACAATTCCTGAGTTGTTTAACGTAGGCATTATGGTGACATGCAATGTGTGCAAGTCACATGCTCGTTATTTCTATTCTCAATCAACACCCTCAGGAATGCCCTGTACCTACATTTTGTGACCCACAAATTCAGAAACTTGGGGTTCTTTATGGGTTCCAGTAACAAACCATGGGCAACAATAAACCTTGGGCTGATAATTGACAGTGGAAATGAATTGCACACAACTCATACGTTCCACTTTTCCTCCAGGAACTGCTATTGTGATATGTGAATCAGTCAGACTTTAAGTTTCAGTTATATGAGATCTGACTACATTGCCTGTGAGAAAAGACAAATGTGGAAAAAAGAAGAGCTTTCGTGTTTCGCTGTTTTCTCAAGAGGGGGTATCAGAGAGACCAAGATTTCTCACTCTAGATAGTTTCTGACTTGGACTGTCAGAAATGCAAATACTCTGACAATAGACCTGATTATACTTACTTGAAGAGTATGATGCAGGAAGTGGCTGCAAGAAGCCAGATGTTCCATTTGGCAATGACGATGTGCTGACAGAAGGCAGCAGGGGAGCAGAAATAACCAGGGGAGGGATGGAAGTTACAGAAGGAAAGGAGGACATGGGAGCTAAAGGTGTAATCGTAGGTACAGACGCTGGAATAGACAGATTTGGCATACTGCCCATACCTAGAAGAAGAATTGAACAGTTAACGCAGAGATAGGTCCAACCAAGCTGTGGTCCATACCCTAAGGAATTCCCTCCCCAGAGAAATATGGCTAGCATATCTTTAAAACAACATTAAAAACTCATCAGTTCTCCCTGCTTTTAATTGAAAGAATCTGTGCAATACTTTATCATAACCCCTTTATTTAAATTACGGTTATTTTTATGGCTTCAGACAGCTCTGCTATTCATGTGCAAATTATAGTACAGAATGTGCACAACGTGGGCTGATGGCTACATGAAGGAACTAGCTGCAGCGTGCCTTGAACCCCAGGTATTACTACAGTGTCACCAATACACAGAAGAATCAACTCAGTAACACTTCTTACTGTATTCAGAAGCTTTATGAGAAAAAATATCTGCACATATTTTGACAAATATAATGATTATACCATAGATTTGTACATCGCCATCTTCATCAATAATAATTTGGGGAAGGAACTATTTTTTATACATTATATACATGTATAAATGTATTAAATATTCATGATTACCAAAACGAGCAGACATCAGGGGTGAGAATATTGGCGCCTGCTTCATGACTGGAGGGAGAATTACAGGCAATGGTTGACCTTGTAGTTTTAACTTGATGAGTTTCATAGCTATGGAAAATTCCTGTTGATCCATTTTCCCATCCTTGTTCAGGTCAGAGAGAGCCCTTTAAAAACAACAGCATACATATACAAAGAGAACATATACTTGTGCGCGTCCTATTATTTAACAGTAGTGGACATTCCGCCTTGGGTAGTTCCTTTATTTTTCTATTTGGTGGAGTGCTCTTATCGGTTTTCTCGTGTACCAAGTACCACTTACGACCTCCACAGTGGACCCCTTTACAAACAGAACAGACCCCATGTGGCATCAGCCTCCAGCCACAGTTGCTTATGAAGCAGTAGGGTGGGAGGATGCTATATGGAAAGCTTCTGGTTCACGAATCACATAGCTAAATCTCGCCCATGTGCCACTGATTGCTATTCATGGCTATTCGACCACAGAATCTATACATTCAGTTTACTAATTCTTTAGAGAAAAAAATATCCAAATTCCAAAGATATTTTAAGGATCTTGCTTTGAAGGAAAAAAAGATTTTTTTTTCCAAACACAGTTATTTTGGTCACATACAGTCCAGAGAGGGTGCTGATTTACTAACTGTGAGATTTTAGATACATACAGATCCATCTGGTGATTCTTTTAGCTACACACTTAAAGTGGACAGACCCTTTGTACACAGGGTATGACACAGATTGCTCTGTTGTTTCCACACCTGACATTCACCCGCTGGGGCTTTACATTTACACAGGGGCTAGATACACACAAATTGTCCACACAAAGTGCACTTCTGGATTTTGCGCTGTCTGGGTCATGCTGGTAAGTATACATTTGTGGGACTCTATACAGATGAAAATCTTTTTGCAAACAAGACCTCAAATGCACAAACATCAGTCAGAGATGAAGGAGAAGGTGGGCTAGCATTTTGGAAACTTATGCAAGGTTGGGGAGTATTTCTTTTCTTTTGGATATTAATATGCTTAATATTCTGACGAAACAACCTACTAAGCAACTGATAATAAAATATAATAAAATACAAAATGGAAAAAAAATATAAAGATAATCCTAGCATTCTAAATTCTAAACTCAAAGGCAGTAAATTCAAAATCTTGTGTAAAGACAGCACAGATATGTTGGTAATAAAGTTAATGTAGCTGCCCAAGCTCCCAGAACTCATATAGATATTAAAGAGATACAGGGGTGACACTGGAAGGTGAAAGCAAAAGTCTTCAGGTCCTATGAAGCCACAATTTCCCATAGGGTTCTGGTAATTTTTCTGAGTACTTTGAAAAATTATCTAAATTCTTCCAACGCTTTTTAAGAGCCTCATGTTAGCTCCAGAAACTTTCTTAAAAAGAGAAAATAGTGGGTGGCAGGGTGCCATTTTAAACTGTGCTCCCTTGTTGGTACTATGTGTATACGTGTGTGAGTGCATGCATATGTGTGCACATGAGAAAGAAAATGTGTGAGCAAGAACTTACTTCTTTTGGGGGATGGAAAAGAAGAGTGAGGCGCTGCCAGAATACAGAAATCCAAGTGGTGCCTCAGCCCCTCCTCCTTGTGAGCAGGAATAAAGCATTTAGATGATTGGGGAAGGGAAATGAAGAAGCAATCCTCACCTCTGTGTTCCTTTCACCTTCTACTAAAGGAGGGCTTTCTCAGCAGTGGCGCCCTGCCTATGGAATGCGCTTCCCAGAAAGGTCCGCCTGGCGCCGTCATTATTTGTTTTTTGGTGCCAGGCTAAGACCTTTTTATTTCAACAATATTTTAATAACTTTTAATATTAGCTATATAGGTTTTAATCTGCAGCCAGGGTGGATCTGGATTTTTTATTTGTATTATGTTTTATTCTGTTCTTCTTATTTATGTAAGCCGTCCTGAGGCTCTGCGAAAGGACGGCATACAAATATTCTAAATAAATAAATAAATACTAGATGCTCTTAATCTCCTGATCTGAGAGGGCTTATGGGCAGCCACTTTGGCTAGCTCCACAAATCAAGCATTTTAATGAGTACTAGGAAGAAATAACTATGCTGGGAGTTCTACAGAGCAGATTAAAAGTGTACAGTGGTACCTTGGCTCACAAACTTAATCTGTTCCAGGACTCTGGTCGTGACCCAAATTGGTCATGAGCCAAGTTAAATTTCTCCATAAGGTTCAATGTAAATAAGGTTAATCCGTTCTGTAACCATTTTTTAAATCAGAAAAATGTGAAGCAAAGTGACAACAAAGATCGTGGCCATCTCCCCCACCACCACCCGAAACACAAGCGCTGCCATCTCCCCCCTGCCCCCAGCATGACCAAGATCGCGCCATCATCCCTGCAGGCTCCCATCATCCCGGCACGCTGGGGGGGTGGGGGGAAGAGAAAGGTGTGCTCGCGGGCGCACTGGGGGAGGGAGAGATGGGCACAAACGGTGCGCTGGGAAGGCAGCAGCACACCTCCGATCACGAATGGAACTGCGATCGATCGCGGCCATCTCCCCACCCCTCGAGTGGGGAGATGGCCACGATCCCAGTTGCTTTCGTGCAGGGAAGGCATGCTGCTGCAGGAAAGACAGGAGCAGCAAAGCAGAGCCACGGGGGAGATGGTCAAGATTCTACCTGTCTTTCCTGCAGCAGCATGCCTCTGATCACGCATGCCTTCCCTGCACGAAAGCAACTGGGATCGTGGCCATCTTCCCACTCGGTGTGGGGAGGGGAGATGGCTGCGATCTTGGTCACCACCCAAAGCAGTGTTCGTGATCCAAGTCAAAATTTTTCAGAAATTTTTGTCTGTGACCCAATTTGTTTGTGAACCAAGGCGTTTGTGAGCCGAGGTACCACTATATTTTCCCTATGACTTCAAAATTTCCAGAGATTTTACCACTGTTGTCTTTCTGTAAATGTCTTCATAGAAATAATTTGAAAATAGTAAAGGCTAGGCAGCAATATAGTAGTGACAGATTTTATTTTCTTGGGATCCAAGTTCACTGCAGATGGTGACTGCAGCCAAAAAATTAAAAGACGCTGGGTGGACTCTGGGGGATGGTGGAGGACAGGACAGGCTCGTGTGCTGCGGTCCGTGGGGTTACAGGGGGTTGGGCACAACATTGTGACTGAACACACACACACACACACACACACACACACACACACACACACAGAGGCAGCAATATATGAACAGCTTTCCTTAAAAATGTTATTCATCATTCTAAATCTAATAAGTAAGTATAAAGTGCACAATATAGCTGGAATACAATATGTGAAGTAAAGGGGTTTCATGTAGTCACCTACATAGAATGTCTGTTTAGGAGGGCAACAGGTGAACTTTTCTACAGGACATTTTTGGGAACAGATATAACTCTTGAATCTCTCTTACAACTGTTATAAGAGCACCCACACGTGTGGGAGTGTGAGGAAGTTTTGGGGATGTGTCTGGGAAGAAACATTATGCCAGTGTTTGAGTAAAAGCAACAGAGGTTTATAAGGAAAGCTAGGAAGAAGGGAAAGGGCAATGTGCTACCAACGCAGCAAAGAACATCTCAATGATTTCTGTGTAGGTATGGCCTGGTCTAAGTGTCTCCTTTTGTGCAGGCAAGGTGGAGTCATTTGCAATTGCATAGTTAACGTTAGGAAGAAAAGACACGGTGTAAAACAGCTTGCTCTTAGATGTGGAACACAAAAACTACTGATCAGCTTCTTCATTGTGGCAGCTTTCTGCATTTCCTTATTTGCATCCTGTTTTTCAAGGATACATTTCTCAAACTATTCTCCTTTCTTTTTCCTGTGTTCACTAACACTGCATTTTGATACAGGATAGGTTCTTCAGCTGCTCTCATTCACTTGGTTCCCCAAAACAATGGATAATTCCATTTAACTCTAATATCTATGTCCTGTGCTAGAAATTTTAACGTAGATATAAATACAATGACTTTTTCTTACAGATCACACCAATCAACATATTTCTCTGACCAGAAAAAAAGAGAATAGTGAAGAACCACAGTGCTCCAATAAAGGAAAAAAAATCAGATTGTATATACAATATTATCTGAGGGTAAGCCACAGTGGAACTTAATTCTGATTCAACATACATGCAATTGCATTGTTGGTATCACAAAATAAAATATAAACATGATAATATCAAGTATCATATATCTATTTACCATATTTCAGCCAAGACTGGAGAGGGCAAACCTGATTGTAAAAAAAAGTTACGAGCTTGATCTCCTGTACAGAAAAAAAGAAGGTGGGGGGGAAAGCAGAGAGAGACATCATAATATAAATCTACTGTATCAATTTTCCAGATTTAGAAAGTCTGAACATCCCTACTCCCACTTAAATTCCCGCCCAATCTTTTAATTATCACTAAAACACTTTTCAGCCTATCATTTAATAGAGATTGTTAAAGAAATTATAGAATAACACTTAAATAAAAGTTGCTTTAGTAAAATTTTTATTTTAATTATTCAAATAGAATGCTCAGGAGAACTCTTCCCCTCCCACATGCCTATGCCATGCCCACTAGTCTCAATCAAACATTATAGGATATACACATACAACATATTATACCCCAGAGTCTTCTGTATATCCATATGTGGCTTAAGGCAGAAGCATAAAAACTGGGTAGTGGCAAGTACTACTGGTCTGGTAGTTCCCCGTTTGTCGGAAGGAATTTTATATCAAATTTCAACAAAAAGACAAATATGTGAACCGAATATTCAAATTATAATGAAGAACACAGGACACTGAAGAAGCACCCACCCACCTGTAACATATCCCCCAACTGGTTTGAGGCTGTCAAACTGCTTGTCATACTTTGTTCGTTCTTCAATAGTGATAGCCCACATATTTGGGCCTCCTGGAAGACAAAAGGAAATGTCTTTTTAAAACCATTTCCATACAGGTATGTTTGATTGGAGTAGGGTGGGGCAGGGGAAAAGAAAAGAACTATCTTTGTTTCTTAGATGATAATATTAAACCAAGTGCTTTTATGACATACCTTATCCTTCTCAATTTGGCAGGAATGCTTCTATGATACATAATATTTTGCTTCCTAATTGTACAATTATGAGTTATTCCTTCACACATTTTTTATCTTTAAAAGAATTTTACAAGCTTTGCTTCCTGTCATTTTAAAACTTTTTGCAGTTAAACGATTGGGTCTCTTTTTTTGCTCAGAATCCTCCCAGAAAAAAAGTCCTCCACATTTTCATAAAGCAGCTATTTTTGTCTCTCCATTCCCATCCCATTATCATTATTATTATTGACTATGGAAGCCAGGTCCCAACATAGGCATCACAAATCAAATGTCTAGCAAGACTGCATACACTGGATACCCTAAACTTTATGACAAAGACAAAACATGAAATGTCCACATAACTTGTGGTTCTATGATCCAGGTCACACTGGTATTACATACAGATTAAATCCTTTTTATTACAGGTTGCTCTCTGTTTCTCTGTTTCAAATCCCATTGCCTAATAAGAATATAATTGTCTCTATTTCAAACTCAGAACAATTTCTAAGTATATACTATATGTTTATTCTTTAATATTTATCTTAATTTTAAGATAAATGTTTAAACACTGTGTACTGCTAAACATAATAGGAACTTGAAGTGTTGTAGAAGGTGTTTGAATATTGCATTTAGCTTCTTGTCCAGTCTCCCAGATAGCTAACAGCTCTTTTACACATTTTTATGCCAGTGATCTCAAATATATGGCTGCAAATTGACAAATGAGATTAAAATTTATATGATTATATTTTAGTCTATAAATGTGATTTGCATAATGGGCAAATACAGTATTTCTAAAACAAATTCCATGCCTCCTTTGGTGTCACTAGTATAAAACACATGTCACAAGAGGTATCATCTTAGGAGAGCGTACCGCACGGATGTGAGAGAAGGGAAATACTGTTTAATAGCTGCCTTCCTTTTTAAGATGGTGCTTGATAGCTGCAATTTCTATGAATCTATAACCCATAAACATCCCTTTTAAAAAAAGAACTGCTGCTGCCTGTTTAAGCATGGATGGGTTTTAATCAATTAGGGGCACAAACTCAAAGGCTGAAAATCTCCACTCCTCCCATTCTGCATTTTGCTGGACAGCCAGTTTTGACTATCTATCTGGGACACTTCAGAATAGAAGGAAAGGAGGCTGCTGAAGTTAAAAGAAATGCTGTATCCTGGCCTATGCAGTCTGTCCCCACTCTGCAGACCAGAATGCCCCTTTTACCCTCCCCCAAGATAGAGTTCACTACCTCAAGAAGCAACCAGTGCAATTCTTTCTGCTTAAGCTACATAGGACATTGAAATACAGTCTGAGACCCACCGCCAAGGTCAGAGATCTGTGTAGGGGTAGTAGGAACATTCTCTAAAATATTTTCTTTGATTAATCTAACGAAAGACTGGAGAAGGGCTAATGTTGTACCCCTCCTCAAGAAAGGGAAAAGAAGAAGAACCTGGAACTACAGACTAGTCAGCTGGACATCAATTCCTGAGAAATTTCTGGAGCAGATTATCACGCCATCGGTCTGCAAACACCTTGAAAACAATGCAGCGATTAATAGGAAGGAGCCAACATGGATTCCTCAAGATCAAAACCTGCCAGACTAATCTGATTTCATTTTTTATTAAGTAACCTCTCTGGTGGACTGTGTGAATGCTGTGAACACAGCATATCTTAACTTCAGCAAAACTTTTGACAAAGTGTCCCATGATCTCCTGAGTAGCTAAAAGTAGCTAGACTATCAGGAGGATTCATAGTTGCTTACAAAATTGGACTCAAAGAGTCCTCATCAACAGCACATTCTCAAAGTGGAGTGCAGTAACAAATGGGATATGACAGGGTTCAGACTGGGGCCAGCGCGCTTCAACATTTTTATTAATGTTTTCGATAGGGAAAAGCATAATCTATGATCAAATCTGCAGATTTCACAAAACTGGGTGGGATAGCAAATAACCTGAAAGACAGAAAGAAGGTTCAAGGTGAACTTGATAGGTTGGCAAGCTGGGCTGAAAACAACAGAATGAAATTCAGTGGGAACAAATGCCAAGTTCTGAACCTAGGAAAAACAAACCAAAGGCATCATTACAAGAAGGGGAACACCTGGCTCAACAATACTACAAGTGAGAAGAATCTTGGAATTGTAGATTCCAAGCTGAATATGAGTCAACAATGTGATGTGGCTGCAAAAGGGGAAAATGCCATTTTAGGCTGCATTAATAGAAGGATCACATGAAGTACTAGTTCAGCACTGGTTAGGCCTCATCTAGAGTACTGTGCTCAGTTCTGGACACCAAAGTTGAAGAAAGAGGCAAACAAGCTGGAAAGGGTTCAAGGGAGGGTAGCAAGGATGATCCAAGGGTAGCAAGGATGATCCAAGAACTGGAAACCAAGCCCTTTGAGGAAAGATTTAAAGAATTGGGCATGTTTAGCCTTAAGAAGAGGGTAGATACAATAGCACTCTTCAAGAACTTGAAACACAGAGGAAGGCCAGAATCTCTTCTTGATCTTCCCAGAGTGTTGGACACAGAACAAAACACTTAAGTTACAGAAAGCCAGGTTCCAGCTGAACATCAGGGAAAAGTTCCTGATTGTTAGAGCAGTATCACAATGGAACCAATGACCTAAGAAGGTTATGAGCTCTCCCACACTACAGGTATTCAAGATGAAAGTTCTACCTGAGAGCACTGGTTTAACTTGGAGTCCAGAACTGAGCAGGGGGTTGGACCTGATGGCTTTCTGGCCCTTCCAGCTCTACTATTCTATTACTCTGTGATTCTTATTAATTAATTAACACTACATCACTACTTGAAAGTGATTAATCTCCAATTTTGCATCACTATGAGTTGCAGGGTTGGCCACTTCTGTTATACTATAAAATACAAAGACCCTGGCCCTTCTTTCCTCAGAATACATTCTAACAGAACGTTAAAGGATAAACTTTAATGAAGTTTTGCATATGGAGGATGGGAGTATATATACCATATTTTCAAGGAGAATGTAGAAAAAATAGCATTTCATACTGAGATATATCTTTTTTACAATACTCAAGGGTTACGGGTTTACACTTTTCTTTGAATGTATCCCCACCTCATCTCTTTCTCTCTCTCTTTCTTGATCTAATATATTGAGTTTATTTAGCTATCATTGCTAGATCCCACATTTTATTGTACTATATTTTATCTTAATTATAAAGGAGCTTTTGAGATCTCCAGTTCTTTGCATACCTTATTTTGGTAGCAGTACATGCTAATTCTTTTGTGTGTTTAACTACAGGCTCCAAAAAACACCTTGTACTCTTGAACTACTGATCTTTCAGACCCTAAAACTTAAAATAAAAGTTACTGTGTCCACAGGAATTTCCTAACAAGAGTCTTATGGCCACAGACCTTATCAAGGAAATACTTGTTAACCCAAGAAGCTTCACTTCAGAAGAACCACTTCAAACACAGAGTAATTGCTCAGTAAAAGAAAAGGACTGTGCTTGATATTGTTTGGATGCTATGTGTATATCCCCATTCAGGCAGCTCCTATAAATATTAGCTGCTCAATTGGTTGTATTCAAGGAAAACTGAATGTGCAAGCAACAGCTAAAATGATACAGAATACCTTCTTTTTCTTACACCAAAGCTAACAGAATAAAGTTGGATACCTTTTCCAGTCATGGTCTTTGTGCCTTTAACAATTAACATTCCAAAATACACAGATTTACCTACCATTTGGTCTCCAAGCCCAGAAATGTTTTCCACTGGATTTCTAATAAGCAGTTGCTAACGATACAGGAGCCATGACAGAAAGAAGCAGGCAAGTCAGTTTAAGAAGTCACAATGTCTAAAATGCCTCACAACAACTTATGGCTTATTCTAATATCAAAGTACCCATGAGAGGGTCATGGCAAAGGGGCAGTGCACATGCTTTCCATATATAAGGTCCTCCCAGTTCCAATTCCTAGCATCTTCAGATAAAAGCATTTGAAGCGTTCTGGGAAAGGGGCAGAGCAGCCAGTACCAGGCTAGATGGATCATGGGTTCATCAGGATTCATAGACAATAACGTTTAAACCCTAGTTAGAAACTTTCACAAATACCAGAAGTAAGGTATTAGAGATAATGGCATGTTAACCTCCTAGTAGTGCAATCCAGCAAGGTTATCAGTAACCTCCAAACTCAGAGGATTATAGGCATTCTTTGGAGGGCAAAAGGACTTCCCCCAACCCTGCAAAACATGAGAAGAGTGACTCATATAGACCACATTTTTAAGAAGAATGCCAAGAAAAATAGTTTCATACTGAAATATTTCTTTTATAATATTTAGTAAAAGGTTTGCACTTTTATTTAAATATATCTCCACCCCCTCCCTCCGTCTCTCTGTTCTAATATATTTAGCTATCACTGCTAGAGCCCACATTTTATCATACTAATCTTACTTAAGGGGAGTTTTGAGATCTCCAGTTCTTTGCATAGAATATTCCAGCAGCAGAAGATGAGAATTATTTGTGCTCTTGAACTACTGACTCAAAAAAACCCAAAACAATTCCACCCTGTATTCTTGAACTACTGACCCTTGAGACCCTAAAACTTAAAATAAAATTTATTGTGTCCACAGGAATTCCTTAACACAGTTTTATGACCACAGACCCTTATAAATAAGCAAGCAAAGTCAAGTTGCTAAATGACTCACCGCAGGGAGGGTGAGTCCCTAAGTTCTGTTTTGGCACTTTGGAGTGCCTTTCTACCACTCTGCTGAAGGGTTCTCTAGTTTGAGTTTGTTAAACTCTACAGCAAGCCATGACTAGTTGGAGCGGTTTATAAGCAGAAAGAGTGCTGTGATTAGACAACACAGTAAACTATTATGGCTTAGAAACAACCACGGCTTAACATGTTGCGCAAACCCAGTCATTTACCAATTGAATTATGTAAGCAAATTTAGATGTTCTTCTAGTTGCTCCAAATTCTGAGGCATGTCAGTATTTGAACAGCTACTATGACAGAAAAAGTTCCTTCTCTTAAGAGAGTAATCTAAGCAAGCTACTTACCATTTACGGCTGTAGGAATCTGAGCCATCATGGTCCTGAACGCTCTTTGCTAGCTCTTGGCCATCTGCAACCCAACAACAGCATACCATTAATAATGCAACAAGGTCAATACACAGCTCAGCTCCTGTAAAGCAAAATCAGTCTGTTGATCCGGCAGGTCTGACAACAAATGACACAGAGATTCAAGACCTCTGCTAAAGATACTGCTTTAACTTTTGGGCAGTGGAGGAAGGATTTTTTTCTAGGTATGTGGGCCAGTCTTGAAAAAGCACTCTTTTCTTATAGGAAAGTGGTACCAATGGTGGGGCAAGTCATGTTTGAACAACAAAACATGAACAAATACATGAGCAGAACATAGAGCAAGAATAAATATTACATACTACATGTTTTCTTTCCAAGGAACACAATAGTGGCTGAAAAGGAACTGAAGGAGGGAGCTTTCCCCAGGCTTCCTGGCAACAGGAAGAGGGGCTCCTGCCCAAAATGAATGCTTAGCTATGAAGCTTCCCAACAGTAGACTCTGTGTAGGTGCAAAGCCCATATATGTGATGCACAGAGACCATGACAAAGAATTCTTTTTGGGTAGATAGCAGGAAAATGGAATCATATACAGAAAAAGAAAAACATAGAATACTAAGTGTCATCAACTATCCTTGGATTGATAACACCTAATTATTGTTTTTCAATTTCAATACATAAGTAGAATAGGAACTCCACTTCCACACTTGTAGCAGAGAGGGCAGTCATCTTCTCCCTGGTGATAAATGTTGGAATAAGTTCATCAGGAACACAGTAGCACATTTCATTCCTCCTCATTGTGATTCTAACTGGTGTATCCTTGTGACTGCAGTTTAGAGGCAAAGAAACACAAAATGGAAAGAAGAGGCTGAGTCCTAGACGTGACACAAGAATAGGAATAACAATCCAAGACCAGTGTGGAAACAGCAAGATTGTTTTTGAAATCAACTTGAAATGCTACTTCTCTGTAAATTACTGAATCTTGGAGCATTGGAACCAGAAGGAGATGAGTGAACTCCTCCATGAACTCTTTGGTTCCCTTATGGCTGCACCCTCTTCCCCAGCATCCCCAGCTTTTCCACAGCTTTCAAAAATCTGATGGTTTCTTGGCTTTTGTGCAGTTGCTCTCCCACCCCTCACTGACATTCCAGAAGGTTGAAGTTCCTCTCCTAAGGCTTAGTTACTGGCAGTAAGTGCTTTGAATTAGATTATACTACTATTTTAACCATACCCCTTTTGCCATGGTCCTGCCCATCACTGGTATGCAGCCCCTGAGAGCACCTCTGAAATGGAATTTGGCTCTTGGACTACAATATCCCACTTCAACTTTCTACAAAAGAGCGGCCAGCCTTGTTTCAGTGTTTACAGTCCCTTCAGTGTGGAGGAAAGAGGCATTGTACTGTTTAGTCCTGAGGTGGCACTGGACTTACTTGCACATGAGTTGAGTCAGGAGTTTCTTGTTGCTGTGCTATTCCTGAGTGGCAGAGACTATACAGTCCTTGTCTAGTCTGCTGGCTCTTCCATGTTATTCTGTCAGAATTAAGCCCACCCCTGCTCTATAGGGTTGCTAACCTTCTTGTTTTAGTCAGCTCCTACACATCTTTGCAAACTGCTTGGCAGACAATTACATGTTGACAAGCCTCTATCAGGGATGCAATAGTTGGGCGTCTGCTGACTATTACACAAGTTTCAAAACCACAGTGGCCCTGCTGGTACAAGAAAGTGGGCATGATCTATGTTTCCTACTTCAAGAGCTCATTCCATCTCTAACACTGTTCACTTTGTTTCTCAGCTAGAGGGACTTAAGTCCAGCTTCGTGCTCATCTCAGCTGTCTTCAGGACATGGCTGTTAATGTGGGGGTGGGGGACAAAGAGGGCTGATATGCTTTAGGTTTTGTCTACTTGAGTTCCATCAAGAGTAAAGGGGCAGGTACCTCACAGAACAAAATCTTTGTTAATACATTTCTGTTCATCAACATTTGTAGGAAGGATATGGATGAACAAGCTTTTAAAAAGTCATTAAGTAGGAGGCACAAGCGTGCACGCAAATGAACATGGGGGAGAGGATAACAAAAGGAATGTTAAGGCAAAGTAATAAATTTGACCCTCTAGTTGGCTCTGGCATGACACTGGACCAAAGCTGTAATACTCCTTCCACTTTCGCTGCTGGCTGAGCTTCCCTATAAAGTTCCAGGATGTCTGTTGCCCCTTTCTACTCCTACTGCTGTGCAGTTAGGAAACTGCTCTATGGAGTACAAGATTCTGGTTCAGTAGAAAGAAATTCACAGGTATCCAGTTTTCCACCACAGATTTGCACTATCTGTGCAAATGATGATGTACAGATGAAAGTACAGTAATACCTATTTTTCCACAGTCTGGAGGCCTTTCAAGTAGTAAGGTTTCTCCACTATAAACCACTTGGTTTATATTGGCATCCTCTGGCAGACAATATAGAGTGGACAACAGCTTCATGTTCCCCTTTTTAAAACTTTGTGGTATGAGTGATCCATCCCTGAGTTTTGTGGTTTATCTAAAACAGGGGTACACAACCCTTTTGGGGCCTCTGGACATACTTAACATTTTCTACAATTGACCCAGGAACTACACAGATTTCCAAGGAGAGTAAAAGATTGGGATTGCCCCTATCTAGACTCTCATTTTTCTTGCTACTTTGTCTGGACTTTTCTGGCCTGCAGTCCCTGCTCAATCATTTTTAACAGGCAACTTTTGCATCCACTTCATTCCACTGACTTGAATACTAGTATTTATTATTTATTTATTTATTCACAATATTAATATACTGCTTTTCATGTGAAACAAATCCAAAACAGTTTATAAAAGAAAAAAATCCGACCAAACAAGTACTCAAGGCCTCTGACAGACAAACATATCATGAAGCTGGTATACAGAAAGTTAATTGTTGGAGTCAGGGCCAACTCACCCATGAAACAGGGTAAGATGGCTACACCAGGAAACTGTGCCATGCCCCTTTTTCAGGGCAGGCCATGCTGTTGCCCCAATTCCTCTAGCAGATGCTTTTCAGAGTTCTTCAAACCACTCTCCTGCCATGATAATAGTGCTGAAATACAGAGAATCTCAAAGGTTGGAGGGGGCTACTATAGGGTACTGTATAGGAATTCTATATTCTGCTCCAGGCTTCCTATCTATTTGAATACGTGATCTGAATGTTGTTGCCTTCTGTTGGGCAGGTGAATACTGCTGGTAAACTGCCCACCCTGCTGCCCAACAATCTCACAGAGTTGGTGGAAGTGGTCTTACCGATCTTATGCAAGGGGACCTGAGACTTCTTGCTGCCATCACAACCATATTATGCTAACTTGACTTTATTTTCAAGTCAAGGTCAAGATGACTGTGGAGGATTTCTTGGTAACACCTTTGTTATGATTGTATCACTTCCTGTTGATTAGACTAGTGGCAGCCCTTCCCATTTTCAGAGCTGAGGAACTTGTTTGAATGGTCTACTCCTGGACAGTAATGTTTTTATTATTTATAATTAATATTCCACCTTTTTGCCTTTCCAAGAAACTCAGAGCAGCTTACTTAATTCTCCTCAATAATCAAGATTCTTCTCAATCTTAGCCTCAAAACAAGAATCCCATGAGGTAGGTTGGGCTGAGGGTCTGTGACAGATTCAGGATCACCCACTGAGGTCCATGGTTGAGTCGGGATTAGAACCCAGATCTCCTGAGTCCCAGTCCCACATTCCTAACCACTACACCACCCTAGCTCTCAGTGGTTGATTTCTGAGGGCCCTTGGGGCCTGTCAGCATAGCATGGCTACTTCTTCTATTAAAGTCCTGGTTGCTCTGTGGAACAAAGAGTTTGCTGACATGTGCCTGGCCCACTGTGGAAACCAGGATAATGAATGTAATAGACCTTTGGTCAGATGCAGCAAGGGCACTTCATGTTCTTCACCAAGACTTCAAATTTCACTCCACAATCAGCTTCAAACAGTTGGTTTACTTTGTGGCCCAGTTCAGTGAAACTATTTCATAAGTTATGGCCATGCCCCTTATACCGGAAACCAAAAGACTACTCATTTAACTACAGCTCACTACCCAATCAGTTGCCTGCACAAAGTTCTATAAACACATTTGCTTCAGTCCTTCAGCAACAACAAATATTGGCAGGATTTCTATCAAGTAATATTATTACAATACCACTTTCCAATGATTCTTGAGGCCAGACAGGTACTCAAGAATCACTACATAGAGAACAAGCCAAGCAAAGAAAGTAACAAAATGTCACATATCACCCATAGCCCCAGCCAATAGCTCCAGTGGGTTATATCAACCCCAACCTCTCCTTTGAAGAATGGGTAGTAAGTGGCAGAGAAAACTCTGGCATGCCTGACTGTAATAAGGTTGGAACTTCCAAATGAGAAGAGCTTACATTTTGCGCTTCCCATCCCACTTGGAATCTTGCAATATCTTCAAGCATTATTCCAGCAGCAGAATGGGAGCCCTTCTCCTCAGTGGCCTATATGTACTCCACATGAACCTGCCATTCGCTGGGCTACTAAGATGGCTGAATGTTGTGACTGGAAAAGCACGCTTTTCCTTTCTGTCTGGTTAGATCGCTTGCCTTCCAAACAGTGACTATTTTAGGTTGTATTTGAAAATACACTTCTTTTATTTGTGAAAGAGAGGTTTTCAACAAATAAATCCTGTAGTGTGCGGCTGTAAATGTCTCAATGATGAAGCTGGTTCCCGGGTCCCAATTCCTTATTTGTGAAAAATTTCAAAATGGTAATCAGTTGGTAAACTTATTAACAAACTGGGACTCTAAGTAAACTTTGAAGTAACCCATATCATATCCCCAGGGATTAATCATCTTCAAGATGATAAATCTCTCCAGTCAAAATTCTGATTTTTGCACAGCACTCATTTACACATGATAACCTCAGATGACAATGATAAGGAACTTGGATATGAACCCTGGAATAAGCTTTGGGTCACCCCCAATGTCCACTATGAAATGGTACTGAGTTGTGTTTGGATCAAGGTTCTTTTTGGAAGTAAGCTACTGTCAAGCACAAGCAGCCTTGTCAATAGGTTAAAAATACAGAAAATGAGCAGCTGAGTCTAGCTAGGTACACCACTTTGTCACCCAAATCATCTGCCCACATGTCTAAGAGAGTCCTTTGGACTAATTGATAATAGAAGTTGAATGCATGAATGAATGAGAAGGGTCCTTTATGTGATGGCCCTGAATTGTGTTCAGCACAGCACGGCTTAGGAGCAGAACTCATTAGTTTTGGAACAGAGAACACGGCTATTTAACTTGAAGGGGAAAGTTTCCTACTCATGGAGATAAGAGTTTGTCCAAATCTTCCTTTTGGGTGCAGAAACATATCAACTTTAGTTCTTTATTAAACTTACTGAAATTTCTGACTGCTTGGTTGTACATTGGTTTATCTTACAGTGTATGTAAGATAAATAATGCAGGAGTGCTTCAATATACAGTATTTTGACTGGTGAGGAAGACTATTGTCATGCTGTGTTGCAGGTTTAGTTTCCACAGTGTTTCTGCTATTGACTTTGCTAATAGCCCTGACATAGTATATGCTAAGTGTAATGGGACCACAGGATCATCCTGCCAATGAGTTTATAGATCTTTTTTCCCCTTTCCAGTAAATGCTAGGTTCCATTATTTCTGGAATGATCCTAGTATTCTGACATTACTTTTTTCACTGTGTTTAAACATGAATTCAAATGTTTCTTCTACGCCTTTCAGTATGTTGTCATACAATAATGTAATAATATATAAATAATGATTAGCAAGATTGCTTGAAATGAAAAAGCAAATATTCCACAGAACACAAGTGGTAATAAGATGGAATACCACAAAATTGGGAATACGCACAGTAGAACATCTGCAAAAGAGCTTCCAAAACAAATGTTGCCCAGCTAATCTGGATATGTATCAGTTGCCCTATGTGTTCAAAAAAATATATGAAAGCTACAGTGGTAATCAGGCAAAAGAAATTAAGCTTCACAGAGCACAGGAGCACTAGTTTTGAATAAATATGATTAAGCCTGCACTGTTAAGTGTACAGTAACACCTTTAGTGGACAGTGCATGTTGAGCAAGTCAGTTCTGAATATTAATATTGTTGTTTTTCATTTTTCAGACATTTAAGTTTCTATACCTTTTGGTTTCAAATGCCATTGAAATAATACATCAGCACAACATCACAATTAAACAAATACCCCTCCGTTCCTATTGTTTGTTTTAAAATCTATCAATTTCTTAGGTTTGTTGCACTGGCAAGATGGGGCTCCTTGTCCCATTCAGGCACACCCATGACTGTTCAAATTTTTGGATGCATCATTTCCCCTATGCTGTTCAGTAACCCCCTGTACTCTGCATGCATAATCCATGATAGGGAAAATGGCTCTTACTCTCCAGGAGAGTCTTAACTCTTTTCAACCACACCAAATGCTGCTGAATTTTTGTGATCAGAAAGGTACAATTATTTCAATGATAGCAATTATTTTTTTTTCTGTAATACCAGCAAAGACACTGAGTTATGCTAAAATAGAATTGTGTTCTGATGTGTCAATACCTAAAATACTTAGGCTGGTCTTAATATCAGTAAATATGACTACTTTCCCCTTATTCCTCCTTTATCCATGCAAATGAAAATGCTTTTCCTTGTTCATCCATCATTATAAATACTACCAAGAAATGAACCATAGTTCCCATAGAAACATGTGGAGGTGTTCAGAGTATGTAGTTATCTTTCTACATAGTCTAATGGATTAAATGAGATGAAGGGTTTCATAAAGAAAACCGATATATTTTTACTGTATTTAAAACTGAAATAGTACACACAGCTGGGAATAGTTTTTTACTTAATAGGGTTTTTCAAAGATGACAAAATAAAGATGATACATTTCCAAAAGCTTCAAAAATGCAAATATGCGGATCCTATAATGTAATAATTGTACCAAAAAATAAAAATTCCAAACTCATGCCTAACTCTTTTTGAAAGCTCTAGGCACTTTTTTTTTAATGTCCAAGACAATTTAGTTTGCTAATTAGTCAGCATAATTCTATTTAATTTGGCTTTCATCTTGGATAAACCCACTCAACTAAAGAGCTGATAGGACAATTTAAGCAATTATCCCGCAAACGCCAGCAATGTTTACATTTTGCAAGCCGCTCCATCGAGTTCTCAGTCACGCTTTCGAGAGCACGGGAAGGTGAAGGTGACTCAACGCTGGGGCAGAGGGGGCCTTCGAGGCCAGGCGTGACAGATGCACGCAGCAGGCAGACCCCAGCGCACATCGGCGACGCACAATGGCGACTGCTACTTGCATCGCGCTCTCCCCTACAGGAGTTCCTTTTTCGCAAGTCCCGCCCCACCTTCGCGGCCGGTTGTCAAAGCACTTGCGGGTGCTTCCGCCCTCACGCCGCTCTCTGGAAAGCAGCCGGCCTGACTGACCCCCTCCCCAAATCCCCTCTCACCCGATTGGACGCCTCTGTCTCCCTCGCGCTCATTCCCCCGGCCAACCCTAAGTTGCGCAGAACCACAACTAGCTTTGCTATAGTTAGTCAGTGCTCAAACCACGTCTTATGATTAACTCCCCCAATTCTCCATCGACTCAGAGGACCCCGCAGGCGACCTAACGCTCGCCCCCAAAAAACGACGCAACCTGGGCCTTGATTTCGAGCAGCAGCCAGCCCGCCGGCTCTGTCAGGGGACCCAAAGGCACACCTCCCCGTGATGCTCGGCCTAGGTGGCTTGGCCCAATGCAGGGTCAACCGGCCACAGCCGCCCGCTCCCTAGCAGCTCCCCAACCGCTTGAGCAGTAGTGGCGGCGGCGGCGGCGGCGGCGGCGAGGGGGCAGTTGGAGAAACCTCGGGCACGAGCACCTGCGCCTACCTGTTGCTCTGCCTGACAGCACCTTCCTTCCTTCTCCGGGCGAACTGGCTGACTGCCTTCTCCCCGGCCCTGGCTCCTCCTCCAGCTATCGCGGCTGCGTCAAAACCGGGCCATGGCGATAGTGGCCGCTGCAGGCTCCTGTGTGCATAGAGGGAAGCGGCGAGAAGCGATAGGCGGTGCTGCCGGGCAGGCGCGGGCCGCGGAGGCGCAGCAGGTTGACGAGGCGTGTTCTAGAGCTTGTTCCTCTTCGAGCGTTTGGAGGCGAACGCGAGCGCCGCAATCAACACAGCGGCGAGTCTGTAAGTTCTAGCCACGGCGTAAAAGCCGAGCGGAACAGGCCCAAATGGCTCCTTTATTAAACCACAACTATGCCGAACAGAACGGCATGAGTTAGCGACACTTGAAAGCAATATTGTAGGACTGAAACTGTAGTCTTGTGTATTGCTGCTGTTATTATTAACCTCATAATGCCTGGGACTCATCCAGGAGGCCTGGAATGGGTATCAAAACGTGGTTTACGTGGAAGTTCTCCATCCACTTATGTGCGACTGGTGAACATGTTGGTGTTCTACGCTGTGGACATCATGGGGATATTCCCCATCCTAGTCTGTCCTGTATGGTGGTGGACAGGTTAATAATAATATTGCAAGGAAGGAACAGAGGGTAGAACATTAATGAACAGCAGGTCATTTCCAGCATATTAGGGTGGGGCCATCACAGCCCCATTGCAGGTGGGCAGAAGGAACTGATCTTGCCAGCTGTCTAGGCAACATGGATTGTGGGGTGATTTGGTTCAATGACATGCTGTTAGCCTGGAGTACTAAAACACCATGGAATAATTTCTCCACAGGACTTAACTGCCTGCACCAGCAGTCATTATGATTATCCACTTTTGGAGATGCTACATTATATGAATAATATAAGCAACAATGGACAATTCTTAAATTCTGAGCCAATGCCTGGGTGGGGTGATGAACTGGATGAGGCCCAGTAAATGAGACTTAATCCAGGTAAGGCAGAGATACTGTTGGTAGGTTGGTCATCCATCCAGGTGAGTAATATTTGCTGTGTTCTGGATGGGGATGCACTCCCCTAAGGGACAGGGTGTGCAATCTAGGTGTGCTCCTTGACCCAGAGCTATCCTTGGAATCACAGCTGGCTGCTGTAGCAAGCAGCACTTTCCACCAGCTTCAGCTGATCCATCAACTATGTCCTTTGTACAGACTAGCAACAGTAATCCATGCTCTGGTAACCTCCTGCTTGGACTATTGCAATGTGCTCTATGTAGGGCTTCCCTTGAAAATGGCCCCGATAGTTCAGTTGGTATAGAAAAGAGCAGACAGGCTATTAACTTGGACAGACAAGATATATAATACCAGTCCTTTATCATCTTCATTGGTTACTGACTGAAATCTGGGCCCAATTTAAGGCGTTAATATTGATGTATAAAGCCCTTAACAGTTTAGTGCCTGGGTATCTGAAGGAACATCTCCTTTCATATACGCTTGCCCAGAGCTTAAGATCATCTGTTAAGGTCCTTCTGCAGGAGCCCTGTTTGAAAGAGGCTAGAAATGGCTACTAGAGGAAGGGCTTTCGCAGTGGTAGAATCCCAACTGTGGAATCTGTTCCTTAAAGAGGTGCACCTGGCACTGATTCTTTATTCTTTTAGTACCAAGCCAAAACCATTTTATTTGCCCAGTATTTTAATGGTTAGAATGATTATATTACATATTTTATATATTCCTATTTGTGATTCCTATTCAAGTGCTATCGTGAATTTTGCTGTCTTTGTTACTCTCATTCTACTCTTTATGTAAGCTGTCTAGATATCCTGTTTGGATATAGAATGTGATATAAATGTAAATAAACCACAGTATTTTAAGGGCTGCTCACATGCAACACTAAGCCATTGTGATCTAATTTTCCCACAAGGCTTAGCCAGATGTGCCAGATGCCATATTTAATATACAAGTAGCAGTATACTTGTAGCTTGCCATGTCACACAACCCCAACATTGTAAGTTATTTGAAGAAATGGACAACCCGTTATGGTGGGTTCACAGAGAAAGGCAAACCATGGCTAGTGGGGGCACTCATGGGCATTGTGCAGAAAAGGTACCTGCAGGCTCTTGGCATAACATGACAACCTCAATGGCTTAATTAAGCCACAGTGGATTCTGTTGTGTGAGCCAAATCAAACCATCCAGCTGCTATCTTTACTGGACTAGAGAGTCATCTGGCTGACTCAGCAGAGGTTATGGCACCCAGAGGAAAAGCAAACATCTCATTTTCTCACTTGTTTATCTGATTGTCTCTACAGCACAGCATGGGCACTGACCATAGCTAGATTAGTCCTCCCTGCTGCATTGGCCAGAAAGAGGTGCATAACACACACAGGCGCTAGAAGTTTCTGCTTCAGTATTCTGGATAATACCATTGGCAGCTTTCTCCACCATGTTGTCCCAAGTGAGAGAGCACACGCAGGTAAGGCCACCCAGAAAAAGAAAAGCAAGTGATCAGAATCATAGAATACTAGAATTGGAAGGGGGTAATAAGGCCATCAGGTACAATCCCCTACTCAGAACTCCAGGTTAAAGCATCCTCCTCAGATGGCTGTCCAGCTGCATCTTGAATGCCTCTGGTGTGGGAGAGCCCACAACCTTCCTAGCTAACTGGTTCTGTTCTCATATTGCTCTGACAGTCAAGCATATACCAGGGGTGGCCAAATCGAAGTGTGGGAGCGGTATGTGGTGCCCTGAGTATATTTTGCAGCTTGCTGCTTGCCACCCTGGGTGTCCACTTGCTGCTTGCCACCTGTAGGCACTCACTTGCGGCTCTCAAACATCTGACATTTACTGCATGTGGCTCTTCCATTGAGCAAATCTGGCCACCCCCGATATATATGCGATAGCACTGTTGACAGTTATTCCAGAGGTTTTCCAATTTGCCAGTTTCCAATTTGCTCAGTTGCATTTGTATGTGATCACTCTGAATTAAATCCAAGGTCATTTATTGTCTGTTCATTTTCCATCAAGATCATCTTGAGCATTCTGGTTCAGCATGCACCTAAAACTAAATTGGTTGGGACGCCTAATATTATTAGCCACAGTGCTCCTGTGGAACAAGTCATCTTGTTCCAGAGTCTAGGAATTTTGAATTATGTTCTACTATATTACACACTAAAGGTATTCAACATATCAACTATATGACAGAGAATATAAACCAGGTCACTGGATGAAAACAGTGCTTTCCATGGAAATACTATCATTCTAGTAATTACATCAGTGATCATGGATCATAAATGAGTACCAAGAATACATATAATCCTATGGGCTGTAACTGTTGTTGACTCTATTCTGTTAAGCTGCTTTCAGTGAAAAACATCTCATGTCCTGCCAACAGCTGCCATACCATATCATGGTATTCATATCACGAAACATGACTCCCTGTGAAAACCAGGTTGGCTATGGAAACTCTCATGGATATTACATTCTCCAAAATCTGCATGGTCTGATATGATGCATATTATACTTAAGGCCCACATCTGCCAACTCTGCTGTTGTGCTTCTACCAATAATACGAATACTAAACACATGACATGCATTTACTCAGTTGTGTGTGTGAAGAAACTAGGGGTCACAACATGGTCCCAATCCTAGCCTTTAGTCTCTGTGTTAGAAAACCAGAAAAAAATAGAGCATAGAAGACAGAAAGTATTCCTGTGCCATAACTCTGGTAGTCATATACTACTGACAGAAACATACCCAAAAACTGCTCTTGAATAGCACTCCCATCCTCTTAATACAAAGCCAACTTTGCACCACTGTAGACAATTAAAATTATTTATTGACATAAACATTGCAGAATTAAAGCAACAACAAAAAATGATTGCTGGTGGTCTTTCTATACCTTTTTTCTCAATTCTTCATTCACTTCATCCCAGATTAACTTTTCAATGTTTGATGTATCATACTCCAGCATCATATCAAATTCTCTCCAAGGCATTTTCCATTTTTCCACTCTTGCTTTGTCTTTTTCAGAGAGATATAAGTCAAAGTCAATGCCCTTGATATTGAATTTTGGATGTTCCCAGTGTTTTGACCAAGGTCTAGGTTTCATCTTGACCTTTATCTGTGTAATTGAAAGCAAAGTTAGATAATGTGTTGACTTTTCAGCAGTATTTTATCTATTCATATTTCATGCACTCCTATCCATACCTTTGTTTTAGCAGTGCAGATGGCTCAGATGCTTTCCAAACCAGACACTGGAGCTCACACTGGGTTTAATTCTGACTTTACTAGTTTTGCCCACATTATCCCCAAGAATAATAATTATTATCCCCAAGAATAATTTTTAGCACACTTCTGAAACTATGTTTTTGGGAAAATTTCAATCTTTTCTCTGGCCGTGCCAGAGCAGAACCTGCATCATGAAGTCATACATACCTTTCTCCATCATCATGCCACCACCTTCCAATATGGTTACAACATAAAAGAAACCCAGAGGGGTAGTTCATGTTGAAGGACATGTAGCAAAGACATTTAATTAAAAAATCTTACAGAACAATTAACTATTCATCCCTAACAGGGATAGCCAGGCGTGGACACAAGCAGTGGGGAACCTTGTACTTGAAGCATGTGAATGTGTCATAATGCAGATTCACATACAAGCCAATCACCTTCAAAAGGTAACCTTAGACATTTTTTTCAGCCTGCTCAGAGGTAAGGGGAATACTTCCAATACTTATTGGAAGCAAGCATTAATGCTTATTGATCAGAGATAATGGAGGATTTTCCTTATTAGTGTGCTACTCAGCCTCTCAGCTCAGAGGGCAAGTAGTACCCTACCTTATCTTGGATCTTCTCCAGTGGAGCAGAGCAGACTAAGATTGCGAGGCACAGTGAAATATTACAGTACTGCACATGCCAGCCAAGGTGATTTTGGTGTATGCTGTTTTTCTCCAGCCAGGAAAAGTCTGTGGTACATCAGAGCTGGGTCCCATTGGAGTTAAGTGCTCCAGCTGCGGCCCTGGTCAGGGTGCCTTTGCCCATTCCCCCATATTGTGAAAGATAAAGTGCAGGCACATCTGGCCCCTCCATTTAAATGAAGTCCCCATCTCTTCACTAAAGCAGTTAGCCATTTACAGTGGATAGTACTGACACAAGAGAGACTTGAAAATCAGAACAACCTTTTTAAGGTTTGTAGAATTCCACCTTCAACCTTATTCCAAATTCTCACTGTATTTGTCTGTGGGATTGTTACTTTTTTGCATACAAAAAAATTTAGGCTCTTCCCTATGGATTTCCCCAAATGTATACATCAGGTGTGTGATTTTGAAAAATACATATAAATACATCATAGATGCAGAAATATATGGACTTCAACTGCATTTTGTATTTGAATCTACATGTGGTTCCAGGAGGTATGACTTGAATATATTCTGGTGAATAACAGAAAGCAACTCCCTTCAGGGGAGTAGGTATTTAACATAACTGCAAGCTTCTAAGTGCATCCCCAAAACAAAGAAGTGTGCTCTGTGACAGCTTTATAAGGCAAAATGATCTTTAAATACAACTAATTGCCAATCATATGTGTCAGTTTCCTTTGCTATTACCTGATTGACAGGAACTTCTTCATTAACTGAAGGAGGCAAAGATGTCATGTTTACATCAACCGTGCTGTATTGTGGAAGGGCATCTCGTAAATACATCAGGTTATCATCCAATCTCTTCTCCAGTTTGAGAACCTTGATCTCTTGGATTAGGGGATTGTAAAGTTCATAGCAAATTTCAATACCTTAAATGGAAAATTGTTTAGTTTAATATATTTATATCCCACCTTGTTTCCTTTCAAAGAATTCATGGTGGCTTACATAATTCTCCCCTATTCAAACTTACCCCCACAACAACCCTGTGAAGTAGGTTAGTCTGAGAGACTGTGACTGGCCCAGTGTCACCTTGTGAACTTCATGGCTAAGTGAGGACTACAAGCCAGATCTCCTGAGTCCCAGCCCAGCACTCTTAACTACTGTTTAGTAATTCCATCAGTTCCAGAGATTTAAATGATAAAAAGAAGTAACAGTTATATTTGTTATAGAACAGCAGTGGTTTGGAGTAAAATATGTAGTATTTTAAGAAATAGTGAATAAGTAAATGCTTTGCTGAGAAAAGGGTACCCAGCACTTCAAATATCAGCCTAAATTTTCATTAGAATGAATTTATAACAATGCAACTTTTAAACTAGAATGTTAAGATACCCAGTTCCAGTGTGTTCATGCATGAAATCTCATATAAAAATAATTCTCCTTTTGTAATGTTTGGTTTACTGTTTCATCGTAAATGGCTTGAGGACATCCACTGAGGATGTATCATAGCAGCCTATTTTTCCCTCTGTACCCACATTACACTCCTAGGGAGTGGATAAAACCAATTGTACCCAGAATGTCTCCTTGCCCAAAAATTCAAAAGCATGCCGACAAAATGTACCCACCCTGTCCTTCTATTACATTTCGAAGTATGAAGGTTGCACCAAGTCCTTTCCCTGATCGCTGAATACAAAGTCCTACGAAAGTGCTGCTCTTTCCATTTGAGTGGGGATCTGCTGCAGAAACAGCAAGTATACTTCCTGCCAGAAATGAAAGTAAACTATTTAATAAACTCTGTAAAATGAAGACTCTCCAAGGTTAATATAAAGACTTGTCTTGGTAAAACTTGGACTGAACTAGTAATTTGAGTCCATGAAACAGTATTATCACAATACTGATTTGACATTAGCCTGTTTGGGAATACAGTGGTACCTCAGCTCACAAACACCTTGGTTCACGACCAAATCGAGTTGCAAACAAAAATTTCATGAAAATTTTGACATGGGTTGCAAACTCCGCATTGGGTGGCGACCAAGATCGCAGCCATCTCCCCACACCCCCGAGTGGGGAGATGGCCACAATCGCAGCTGCGTTTGTGCAGGGAAGACATGCGTATCATGGGCGTGCTCCTGCAGGAAAGACGGGCGCAATCTCGGCCATCTCCCCCGCCCCCACAACCAGCACGATTGCAGCCATCTCCCCACCCCCCAAGTGAGAAGATGGCCGCGATCGTGCTGGGGGCGGGGGGGGGGATGGCCAAGATTGCGCCAGTCTCTCAGTCCCCCAGCACGCCCCGTTCACGCCTGTCTATCTGTCCTCCAGTGCACCCTGTTTATGCCCGTCTCTCTCTCCCCCAGTGCACGAACAATCGCGCCTGTCTCTCCCGCACCCCAGCGCACCAGGATGACGGGCGCATGCAGGGATGACAGGTACGATCTCATTCATGCTGGGGGGGGCGGGGAGATGGCCGTGCTTGTGCTCGGGGTGGGGAGGGGGAGATGGCCACGATCTTTGTTGTTCTTTGTCACTTTGCTTCACATTTTTCTGATTTTAAAAAATGGTTACAGAATGGATTAACCTTATTTACATTGAACCTTATGGGGAAATTTAACTTGGCTCATGACCAGAGTCCTGGAATGGATTACGTTTGTTTGCCAAGGTACCACTGTACAGTGCCTTGTGCTTCAAATTTAATCTGTTTCAGGAGGCTATTTGAACTCTGAATATTTGAAGTCCAAATCAATGTTCCCTATTAGAAATAATAGCAAGTAAATTAATCCATTCCCAGACCCTAAAAAATACCTATTTTGATAAACTCAAACAGCAAATATGCATAATTTAAGGTAAAAATAACACAATTACATGCCAAAATTATTAATTAAAACTTGAAAACAATAAAATACATAAATATGTACTGGATAATAAAATGAAATTTGCATTTACTGTACTGCATGAGTGTTACACAAGAGATGTTTCACAGCAAGAGACAACTTGGGCACAAAACAGATGGCGTTTATACAGCAACTACATTTTTTCACAGCACATGCAGTTTGAACATAGAAGTATCATTCACGCTTCAGAGCAATTTTATCTTGACTTTAGCATTTGAACTCTGGATCATTTGAATTTAGAGTTGTTTAAACTACGAGGCACCACTGTATAGCTCACTGTATAGCACCCTCATTGCTCAAGGAGCAATCCAATGACCCTTAGACACCTTGAGTTCCATTGCAGAAAGGTAAGCTACTAATCCTAAAAATAAAATAACTTTAGGAAGAGTATCAAAATCTTGCTCAAGCTATATGCTTCTTTTGCAAGGTTATAAAAACTGGCTATGTTAAAATTATATTTAATCTGATTGTTCAGTTTTATTAATAAAATTACATAACTCTGCAGCATCACAGCCATTCCCAATTCAACTTTAGATTCCATTAGGAAGCAGTAGCCCAGAGTGCTTATTAGCTGCCTGGAGATGACACATCTCCACATAGGCTGCACGATGGTAATGTGCTCTTTGTGCAGTTACCTTTAAAGATGGTTCATAAACTTCAGTGGGAACAGAATGCAGCCACACAAGTGCTGGGGGGAGCATGGTAATCGGCACATGTGACATACTGCACCAGTTGCACTGGTTGTCAGTGTATTTCTGAGACCGATTTACAGTGTCAGTTTTTACCTTTAAAACCTTAAACCAATGATTACAAAGCAACCCACAACCAGCCATGTGTGGCGGCCCTGGAAATCCTCCAGCATACTGTCCCCTGAAAAGTTTGCACAGAAAAATTAGACTGTCCAGGGCCAAGTTAACTAAAAAACTACGCTGGCCCAGCCCAGCCAGTTGCACTTTGAAGTTGGCTGCGAAAGCCCTACTTACATGTCTGTTGGTGGAGAAAATTGGCTCCCTCAGTTCTGGACCCACAATGGTAGAATACATTGCCAACTGGGGTAGGGTCTGGCCTTGTCATTACAGACCTTTAGAAGAGCTCTTAAGCACGTATTTTTCAGAACTTCTCTTAAGACCTTATACTCTTAACTACTAAACCACACACTGGCTCAGTGGTTAAGCTGTATGAGTTGTTGCAACAGAGAAATGATTAGCTAGTGCTTTTAAAAATTTATTGAAGCGCTGCAATTTATTAGACAGCATGCTCTAGTTTTTATCATTTATTAATGACTAATTTGTCACATAATTTGTTTCATTTGGGAAGCTGCCTTGACAGTGTTTCTCTTAAGGAAGCATATAACTATCTTGGATAGATAAATGAAAAGTTAGATAAAATGTGCTGCACCATGCAACCAAAGGCAAGAACTACTTATGGAGATGGAAATCACTCTTTTTTCATAAGAAAGCTTTGCCTTTTCCTGTTATTTTTAAGGAGCTTTTGTCACAGCATGGCAGGGCAAAATGCTCTTACCTCCAGTCAGGTGATGATAGAAGGTTAGAGCTTTAATCTCACTGGCAAGGCAAAGTGGGGAGGAAGCTGGATTGGGAACCCCCACAGGCCATATCTGGCCCATTGTTCAGAGGTTCCCAATGCCAGTGTTAGATAGCAACTTCCTGCCTAAAATGCTTGAGTATTGATAAATGCCTTACTGATTTATAGTAAAACAGTCCAATTGTCTAATACTACAGGCCTCAACATTTGTTTTGTTATTTGGCTGTGCCACTTAAAATCAAAGTATACTTATCAAAGTTACCATTATCGCTGTGACACAGTAGCTACCACATTATGAGGTCTATATTCTAGATAGGCTACTAACCAACATAGAATTCTGGTATATTCATTACTTTTCTCCTCTGTATCATCTCTCTTCTTTCAATGTAGAATTTGAGAGGATTTGTTCTCTGCCGGGGAGGGATGAATTCAGGACTCAGAAATCTGTTTGGACACATGAACAAATACATCAGCTTAAAAGCAAGTGATGACTTTCCATGTTACATATAAGAAATTAGATATAGCTAAGATCAAGATTCTTTTACTTTTGTTGTGCAGCTTGAGATTTTGATTCATCAATAATTATTGGCTTTGGCGGTGGCTTAAATTTCACTGGTTCTCCATCTTTAGAGCTAAGATTTGCAGCTGAGAAAAAAGAGAAAAGTTTGCTTAATTTCCAGCAATAATAAGTCTCTGCAGCACTTTGTTAGTTTTACATTAAAATAAAACAGGCTTGCAGTGTAATCCTTTTCACATTTACTGGTGAAATGATTAAGCATGCACTGGATGCTCATCTGCCTTATATACAGATTGTTAGGCCTGTTCACATAAGAATAAAATCCTACTGGATTTATGAAACTGCAATTCATATGCAGACAAAGCCCTGCAACATCTTACTATTAAAGGATATCTTTATAAACACCTTATTAAAGGATATGTTGCATCAGATGTACTTGCCTATTGAGAATTATATTACATGCAACAGTGGTGGGAAAATTCAGCCTACAGCAATTACATTACTACTTAAACTAGAGAAAAATAATTTGCTCCCTACGCCTGGTAATAGGGTGCAATCACTATTTCAGAGGCAAGCCAAATCAGAGTTTAACGCTACATAAGGAGGCTCGAGCTCGCGTGCTTTCCTGCTGCTGGCTAATTGGTCCGGCTGAAGACGCGGGCTGTGAGCAACCCGCGAGCATCGACTCCAGCCCCCAACCGCCCTAGCCTATGCGCCTGCCCCTCGCAGGGGCAGGAAGGCAGAGCAGAGAAGTCCCCCCCTTCCCAGGAAACCGGCGAGGAGGGCCAAGGGGATACACTGCGAAGGGTTACCGCTGTGTGTGCCGGGCAGCGCCCCGAGCCGTCTCCAAAGAGCCGTCCGTGCCGTGAGCATGCCTGGCCCGTGTGCCCAGGACCCTCGCCCCCGTGACGGCCTCGAGGAGGCAAACCGGGTTCGAACACAAACGTCCGGCGACCACAAAACAGGACCGCCTTCGAACTGAAGGAAACGATGGGTTTGTTCCTAGAACGGCGCTCAGCCCATGGAGTTCCGGGTTGAGGAGAGCGCTTCCGGCTTTTCGCGAAAGGGAAGTGAGCGTGGTTGTTGTGGCTGCGCTTGAGCGGATCAGGATGAGCGGTGAAAAGATGAGGCGAAGCGGCCGAGGCCCGGATGAATTTGCGACGAGAACGGAGGAGGCGGAGGAGATGCCGGCACGAGAAAACACCTCCGGTTCGTCGAAGGAAAGCGCTTCTAAGAGATGCTGAGGACCCAGCTGTCTTCCGACAAAGACAAAGGGGTTTCTTCCTTTAATCACGGTCGTCCCGTTGCCCCGGCGAGTGGAGGAGGCAGAAGATGTCCTATAGCAGCCAAGGCTTTCATGTCCCTTGACTGGGCTTAATCTGTTCCGTGACCTGGAGGCGAGCCAGAGTAAACTGCTGGCGCCGCAAGCGAGGGCGGGAAAGGAGCTGGAGGCAGGCTTGACGTTTACTGAGCGGTGGGGCTGCTCCTTCCTTCCTTCCTTTCTCGTCGCCGAACGGCAGTGCGCCCAAGGGACCTGGCGCAGCAGGCCTCCGCCTGCACCTCTGACACTGGCAGGAGAGCGGAGCAGGGCAGCGATGTCACCACCGGGATACAGACAGGCACAGCAGGGCCCCATAGGCAACTGTAGGTCTATATAGCTGCCCTGGTCTAAAAAGTACCCTGCACCTGCCCACTGACTGAGGAGTAAGCACCACTGAGCACAGTGGGACTTCTTCTTGATTAATGTGCATACAGTTATGTTGCAAACATCTAACAATAAAGTAACATAGCAGTGGAATCCACCCCGTTTTTCTTTGTTTAACAGAGGATGGGGATGTACAATTTATCTGTTTGATTTATATGCCACCCCACTAGCCATAAGTTCTCTGTGTGGGTTACTTCATATTAAAATCCATAAAACAATACAAAGACAACATGACAATACACAGCTAAAGGTCCAATAGCAATAAAATAATTAACTATAAAATTAAATAAATCCAGACTAAACAAAAAAAATACATATGTAGATACAAAAATAAGACAAAACCCATTAAAATTTAATTATATCAAAGTGTAGCATTTAAAACATATTTACAATACAAAATTTAAAACAGATACACACAAAACTTCAAAAAAATCTGACAGACCCCAGTAGAATGCCTTGTAGTAGGGGTCAGTCTTTACTTGGAGCCAAAAAGTAAGCTAATAACATAAGGGGAGGGGGGCACCACTGAAGAGCCCTTCTCCTTGTTGTTACTGAGATTCACTTGTAGGTGACAGTTGGATGTAGGCCCCAGAACTTGATCATGGTGTTTGGGCAGGTGAAGTTAGGGGGAGGTATTCCATCAGGTAACATGGTCCCAAGCCATGTGGGACTTTATAGGTCAAAAACAGCACCTTGAATTGGGCATGGAAACATAAAGGCAGCAAGTGGGCCAGAATTGGTGCTACATGATCAGACTCTGATCCCTGTTATTAGTCTGGCTGCTACATTTTGCACAAGCTGCAGCTTCTGAACCATCTTTAAGGGCATCCTCACATACAGCGTATTGCAATAATCCAGATTAGAGATTACCAGAGCAAAAATTACTGAAGCCAGTTTATTTGTGTCCAGATAGGGGCATAGGTGGACCACCAGCCAAAGCTGGTAGAAGGTGCTCCTAGCCACTGAAGCCAAGTGGACCTCACGTGACAAAGATGGCTCAAGAAGCACCCCAAAGCTATGAACCTGCTCCTTCAAGGGGCATGAAACCCCATGAAACAGATTGAATTTCATCCATTTGGTCAGAGGTCTCATGGACTGCCCTTCCATATAGACTATTTCAATATATTTAAAACTGAGGCTGATTCAACACAAATGATGCTTACGTATATCGGACATTACAGATGCCTGTTGAGAAGATGCTGGCTCTGCTAGAAAATGGCAATGTAACGGGGCTCATGCCTCTCTGAGGCATATGATACGGGTTTGCCTTGTGGTAGCTCCTATTTGGTCAGAAGTTATTGTTCATATAAAATTTGTTTTTGAAGAGTGATAATTGTAGATGATTAAATATATAGATAAACTGAAAACAGCAACTTAGATAACAAGGCTGGAAGGGTAAACAGTGGTGTAAAGAGTTTACTACTCTTACTACATTTGAATTTGTTTCTTGCAATTGCCAGTTTCTTAAACATAAAGCCTGCTTATATTAATGTGCATTTTAAAAATAGCAATATAAAATCCTTTTCAATCTTTTAATAATGGTGTTGTAAATTATTTTAAAGAATGGATATGCTTTCATGTTCATTCTTTTTTCTTTCATTTTTATTGTATTTCTTATCCCTTTTCTGTTATATTTGCAGTGCAGGCTGCATACTACTTTCATAATTTCAGTCTAACATCAAGTATTCAGGGTGAACTCAACTGCTGGACTGTCATTAGCCACTCAGTTGTGGCCACCTCAAACTTGCAATATGGGATTTATGGGATTATTTTGAGGAAATTTCATTTTGCATCCTCAGAGCTGATACACAGTCTAGTCAAGAAATAATTAAGGAGCAGCTTTGGGAACAATGTGTTAGTCTGGATCTTAAAACAACTGGGGCATCAAGATTTTTCTCATAGCTGAATCATAACTTTCCTGGTCAGTTTCAGAACCAGATGAAGAGGCTTAGTATCTCCCTGTTTTTTCTAATCAGTTTCAGATTTGCTACTTGATTGTGCAACCAGACTAAAATCTGAACAATCTTGTAACAGTGTCTACACACTCCTTCACATTTGAAAGTTGTCTTTTCATTCATTGTTTATAAAAGCTTTTTCTTTGAAGAGAGAGAGGGAGAATTCTTCAAAGAGAGAATTTGTAATTCACCCTGCTTTGTTCCTTGTGGTCTCCATGCATTTCAGGTTCAGAAGGCAAAGGGCCTGCTTTGCAAGATACAAAATGTCTTTAGAACTGGAAATGCAAGGCAAGCGATAGAGAAAGGAGCATCTCCAACATGACATCCATCTTTGCCTAGAGCTGCTAATCCCACCCTGCCTCAAATGCACTTTTTCCTGTCCACATGCTTGGTGGATGTTTCGTGATTAAAGAAATAAATCAATCAAACAAAATACAATATGGCAGTATCAATTTTTTAATTTGTTTCAAGTTCCAAGAGAACTAGAGGCTATCATTTTAAGAATTATCATTTCCTCTACAGTCCTCTGTGCCCTCCAACCTGCTGCAGCCCTATCCCAGTTCTGCTAGTAGAAAAATGGTTTCACTCAGATGTTGCTGTTTACAGGTCACTAATAGTGGGGGTGAGTGGGTGAGGGAGAGTCAGGAGTGAGCAGTAGGGATCATTCAAAGTGTTCTAGATGTAGAATTTAGTTAAAAATCTAAATCTTCAGTTTCTTTTCACCCTGTGATAATGGATGTGAAAGTATTTTCCATGGCCTGTGCCTCTCTCAATTATTTTATATAACTTCATTTTATATTTGATAATATTTAAAAAATGAATGCTTTGGGTATACTGACACAGACAATGGGAAACCTAACATGCTGAATATCTTTTCATGTACATCCAGTTCATTCAGGATTCCAGTGTTAAATAATACATTTCAAATCAAATATTTGACACACTCTGTATGTATGTATGTATGTATGTATGTATGTATAGACTCTATATGAGTCTATATGACTCGTATAGTGCAGGGATTGGGGTGGAATCAAAATATCCTAAGAATGTACTAAGCAAAAGCTCTCTAGGTAGTTTACAGAACAATGCTTAAAGTCATAAATACAGTAACACAGTAATACACAATATAACACAATGTGCTTTCTCTTATGAATTGCTATATTCTGGTGGCAAATTTAAAAAAAAACCCAATCTGGAGAATTCTTGTCCCAAAAGTGAGCTATTATAGGGGCCTCTTTTTACTTCTGTAATCCTAATTCTTAATATGTTTCAATTCTAACATTTGGAAGTTGCAAGAAGAATCTCTAAATAAGATAGTGATTGTTTTTCTATACATATTACTGTCATTCAACAAAAATCTCATGAACTATCTGTGATATTATGAGTTCTAGATAGCGATATATCCATGTGGAGAAACTGGTCACCTATACTGCTAAAAGCTTATATGTATTCTATACATAGTTTACAATTAGGTATTCTTAACCAAATTTAAATATTGTTCAAAAGTTATATGTTTTATTGCAGGGCATGTATGATTGGCTCTTTTGGCTCTTGCCTCTTGGCAAAGCAGTGGAGTAGCAGAAGCAGAGGTTGGAAAAGTGTGCTGAGGGGGGCCAGGGGACTGGCAAAGACAAGGTAGCAGCTGGGCAAAGGAGCAGAGGGACAGGAGCAGTGGAGAGGAAGGGGGCGGGTTCAGAGAGGCCAGGAGGAAGCAGAGGGGCAGGGCCACTGGCGTGAAAGGCTTATATGGCATTGTCCGCATCCCTTAGCTGCGGCCCCGGGCTACCCGGGGACTCCCTACCCTGGGGGCAGGTTTTTTCCCCCCCATCCAATTTAAATTTTTATTTTATCTGTGTGTGTGTGGGGGGGGGGTTGTTCTGGGAGAACTGGGCGAGTGAGGAGTAGTGCAGGACAGACAAGGCGTGGGACCAAGGTAGGGTCTCTGAGGGGTTCCCAGTGGCAGGCCAGGAGATGGTCTTGGCGGGAATCACAGATGTTGCTGTCCACTGCGACAGCTGCAACATGTTCGCCCTTCTCCCCCAGGAGAGGCAGGGATACACTTGCCCTCGGTGCAAGCTGGTGGTCCTGCCAGAGGAGGAGTTGAGGTGCCTGAGGGCCGAGAGAGCTATCCAGGCCCCCAGGGAGCAGCCCCTCTCCAGATAGAGGGTTGAGGGAGGGGCCACAGGAGGAGCAGTTGGGGAGACATGGGGGCATGTCACCCACAGGAGGAAGAGGCCAGCACAGCCTCCTCCTCCTCCTGGCACCGATCTGGAACTGGGAAACAGGTTCTCTCCGCTTGGAGAGGTTGAGACTGATGAGGCTTTGGGGGACCAGCAGGAC